GTTCAAGGTGTAAATAGGACGGCGGTTTAATACAATGTTTAATTTTTTATTTGTTCACTTAGACATTAGACCTATCGTAAAACATAATGTTTGGTGCGCCGACTTCATGTTATACTATTGTTTGTTCGGAATGATACAATTATTAACTCTTGACTTTCATAATATTAAAAAATAATATCGCGTAGTTGGGCTACTGGCCAACACGCGAGGCTACAAAATGTTAAAAACAATTTACAACAACAGTGTATTAATAATAACAAACAACAGTTTGGGGATTATTGTACTCTAGTTTTGGAGGTTTAGCCTGACCTAACCTACCTTAAACCTTGCTTTCCGGCAAAGCTTTTTCGGAAGTTTCCATATCAGTTGGCCTATAACTATTGACGTGGATATATCTGAAAATCATCCAAATGATATATCAATCCACAAAAGTTTTAACGCATTCAGAAAAATGTTCTGTTAATAAAACTACTTGTGGATGTTGCATTGATTGAAAAAAAAATCATTCCAGTCCATTCAAGTCTTAAGTTAGCTGCAAAATTACGTCAACAAGAAAACGGTTGGATGTATACATTGATATACTTTAATCTATTTGCTTTCATCCCACGCAATACCGGTTTTTACTTACAAAAACAAGTTTAAATAAATTCGCGTTTCTAGGAATCTGAGTCCTTTAATATGTATTACAGTTATTTATATAATACAGATGTGAGTGATGTGCCACGGGCCATGGTGTATGATTAATGTAAATGTCTACTGCAAATTAATTGACATTATTTAGTTCTTTTTTTTTAAATCATTCAGGCTACAAGTATTTTTAGAAATATCTAAGGAATCCATTTTGAAAAGATTGTTATTCTGATAATTTTTATTAGTCGAAAACATATTATAAATAATAAATCATTTTTTAATTATTAAATTATTAAATGTGGAGGCTGGAGGTAGAGTACGATGTAATTACTTTTGTATTTACATAAATAATTATACTTCGTTACTGTATTTAAAATGGCAATTTTATTTTTAGTTTAAAATATTTTAATATTTTCGTAAAAAAAATGTTTTTTCTTTACATTCCATTTTAATCCTTTTTTTCTAGGTATCTCAATTAGTGAAACTTTGTGGGACATTTCGTATCTTCGTTAACATAATCGTAATAATTATCGCAGTATGTATCTTTATACTCATCAAGTGCAATTATTGTACATCTAAAAGTTATCACTAAAATTAATTTTTTTTAATAATGTTTGAGTTTGTTTTATTTTTGTAACAATTTTCATGGGCAGTTACACAATCAGTGTAGTCGTAGATAATGTCATAACCTTTAAATGTGCATAGACGTCTACATGCTAATGACTTATTTGATGTGTTACACGTTATTATATATTATGCGAATGACATTAAACTCTCATTGGATTCTTGTATAGATACATACCTAATTTTAAATCATCCCAAAATAGAAAATCATTTAATGATTCTACACCATTTTTTTGTATTGTTGGTTAGAATCGATTTTTTACCTTTACATAAAAATGATGTCAAAAATTAGACAAAAATTAGTCTAAAAATGAATAAATAAAATACATGTAAACAAATAGAGTTTCCGATGTTTTTTTATATATTTATATTGAAGAAAATCGAAATAAAACTTTTTCACGCAATCATTTATACATAAATATATATATTCCACCAGTGCCGACTTGATGTTGACGGTTGGGTTAGTGATTCATGACGTTGCGGACATATACAAATATTTACTCGGCTTTACAATAATAATAATAATACACTTGGGTTAGGCAGACCTTCAGAGCACACGGACAATGAATAACACATTTTAATCTCCACACAACGACTCCAAAATGGATTAGTATTTGGATTTTTTTTTAGGTATAGGTAGTATAGAATATTATATTTTAGGGGTCGACCTCGAGTCGTTCCTTAATTGGACGAAATGAACCCTGTTTGTTCGGGTTGCGTGGTTGTATTTTTTGTTTATTTTTATTTGGCCTTTGTTTGCCATCACTCGGAATCACGTTATCATCGCATAAACACGGTTCTGTAAAAGCATTTATTTTTAGGTTTGTCTGCCGGCCGTCCTTGACGTTTTAATAAAAGTTCTAAATCACTTTGTCGGATTGTAAATAATGTCATTTGCAAAGAGACAATATATATATATTACATTTGTTTGGTTATTATTTCACTAAACAACTTTAATCATCACGTTAAACTAAAAAAAATAACACTGATTGAATTTAATCTCGGTCAAAACTTGGTTTGTGTTCCTAAAGTAACATTATTTAATTTAAACAAATATATAATTATTATTTCCGTTATTTTGCAAAAACCCTCGATATAATAATATCATCCGATAATCATTAAACAACAAACAAAATCATAACAATAATACAATAAATAAATACAGCAATAACCGAAAATTACCATATTATATTCATTGAACCATAAAGCGTCCATAATGTTGAACAACCAAATATACTAAATTATTGAACCATTTTTCATGAAAAAAACCGATTAATATTTCAAAAAAAGATTCCAATCAGTTTTTTTTAAATAACCATATTATTTAAGAGCCAGTCAGTGCTAAGTTACAAGTATAAAAAAACATAGTAACATTGCAGACTATATACCATTATAATAACTTAATAGAATAAAATAAAGTAACAACATTAAAAATAATCTCGCTGGATACAGAAAATACACCCACAAGTTCCATTTACAAAAAGTAGTCGTAATTGAAATGAATAAAAATAAAAAGCACATAAAATTCTGTTGGTCATCGTTGATTAAAATATTTTTAATGGGAGCGTTAAAAGTTACACTACATTTAAACTTTTAGAAGCTGAGATTTTCTTTGAATCGTTTGTTGGATGACCTCATTTTATTTACTTGTCATTTAAGTAAAAAAATAAATAAATTGACTTTAGGCTCTAAAACAACAGTTACTCGGTTTGAATTAAAAGTGGAAGCAAACGAGATATATCGATCTATGTACATAATAATTAAGGGCTTTGAACCCGTACAGACAAAACCCTTAAAAACCTGAATAACTGTATAGTCAAAAAATTCTTTCCGGTTTTAGGCCATATTTTTTTTTTACATTTTAAATGTTTCAAAAACGTATTAAAAATGTTTTTGGGATTTGGCTATACGACTGCAAAGTCTTGTAAAAATTACAACCCTCAAGCTCCATTAATGAGTAAACTGTTTAAACGATGTTTGGGAATTTCATTTTTAATTTAACAACTCAGGTAACGTTTTGATATTTATTATTTTATTTTATTTTTATCTAATTATAGTGTTTTACATAGTTAACGGTAAAATAAAAAGTAAAAACCACTATTAACTGATATTAATTCCATCCACCTATAAATATCATAACGTATACTTTGTATTTATGAACTTTATGCCACATGACCTCATTTTTATTTTAATGAGCAAATTTTTTTAATCGGGTTTGCTTAAGTAATCATAATCACTGTATAAATTCACTGGCGTGCGGTCTTAATTTTTATTATTGATAAAATGTTTAAAAGGTAAAAATATCGAATATAAGAATAATTATTTAACACGGCGCTTTGAATATGCAATTCGGGTACACGACTGTAACCAGAACATAATATTATTTTTACGTTCAGCAGTCGTACTCGATGTAAAACATTTGAATAATAATCAAAACAAATTCTAACTTTAATTTAATTTTAAAAATAATATTGCATTTTTGTCTCGTATTATTATTATTTTGTTTGCAACTTTTTGCATTCATTTTGCATATTCTTTTTGTTTGTATTAAATTCGTTTTACACGGATTTATTTATGCACAGTATAAATTGTATACTTCATTCCCTTAACTAATACATTGTGCATAACCAAATGCATGCATGTTAATTCTATGGCGCGATAGTTTTACCTAAACAATATTTCGAGCTCCACTAGTACTGTTTAAAATATATTTTAACTTTCACGAAATGTAAATTCCAGTGTCGGTTCTAGTACAAGTTACTTTTTATGTGATAGTACTAACAACCTATCATTTAAAAACTGAATATAATTATATTGAAAGTAATATTTTCGTCCAACCAAACATAAAACGATACATAATAATGATGTTTGTTTCCATTTTTATTTTATATTCAGTTTCATATACAAAAAATATGCATTATTTATTTTACTTGTACAAACAAATTTAACGTATCGTACATCTAGACCTTTAAGACCTCAAGGTCACCTGAAAATAACGTTTTTAAATATTAAAATCACTTTGTTCTAAAAATTTAAAACTCTCAAAATACAATACAGTTTCACTGCGTTCCATCACTAATTATTAGAGTGGACATTATATTTACTCGTGTTCATAAATCAATTAACTTGTTTAATTAACTAATAATCCTGATGTTTTCATACCAACTACTGGTTGTGAAGTAATATTACTTAAATTTGTTAAAATAAATGTATTTATATTATGATCTAAATGAGTCTATTGATTAAGATAGGCTTGGAAATGTTTGCTCTTGCATCTTTGGGCTATTACTTTAGATTTTATGTTTTTTCAGTTATTAGAAAACTATACATGGCAAATATTTTCTATTTGAAACCTAATAAAGTAAAAAAACTCAATACATATTACCTTGTTAAAATTAATTATGTATAATATTTATTAATAAATGATGTAAGTATTACACTATTACATCACATTATTTTGTTCATGATTCTTGGCATATGAAATCATTAGGTAAAATGTAAGTTCCATAATAATTATTTCATTTGATTCAATTATAACGAAATATATTGCTATGGAAACAATAATTTCTGTTAATTAGTTTAATTAGAAAACTACAAACCCAACCTAACTAGTGGTTTTGTACTATATTATAGGGATGTTTGCTGAAGTAAAAATAAATCATTACACCGTGGTTAATGTACAAATTTGTTTAATTTTCGGATTTTCTCTTATTAACGAATGACTTTTTTCTTTTATTTGTTTGCAGGATACACGAGAGCTCAATTATTATATGGTTCATAAATAACTAGTCTTGAACTCGGTAGAGCTGGCACTGTGTACCCAAACACCTCCGGCGATAACAACATTTCATTTTCACATGGAGAATATCAGCTGAAAAAAACAAGGTAAGACCGCTCCGGCGTTGCGTTGTCTAGATTTATTTATAAGTCTTACAAAATACTGACAAATACTGCCAGTGATAGGAACCATTTTTTACAATTTACGAATAATTTCTTATAAATAAACATCTCAATTAGATTTTAAAAAAAATATTAATTATAAAATTAATTTTGGTATTTTATAAAAATATGTATAATTTGACGTTAAGCGTGTCTTATAAAAAATGTAAATATTATTATACAAACATATTTACACGTATTTTTTTCTTTTATACAATTAGTTTTAGTTAACGTTAACCGGTACAGAGCAGTAGAAAGTCCATTGACTATATTATACTGCTTTTAGAAAACTTAGGTTTATATTATCAGTAAAAAAAATACTATATTCGAGCTGTACACATAACTTATAAGTTATAACACACTTAAGAGTAAGTAGTCAGAACGTGGTAAAGTTTATAACCACTTAATGCTCGTTTTGTTTTACGTCACAGCTCATAGATTAACTAAGAGTCGGGCGAAAACGGGTCGCACACTTCCAAGCTCATGCGACCATGATATCACCGCAAACAGTATTGATCCGCTACCGTAACACTCAGGTGTATTAAGATTCCCAAAAGGGACTTACACATATTTAAATAAACTTTAAGCGATATACATTAGCTAAAAACACCTCAAACTATTTTCTCAAGCAACACTTTTAAATATATGTCTGTAAACACATAATAATATGTATAATCTCTTTATTACAAGTATTATATGGTATTACAATAATAATCATATCATATTAGTAATGATAAACATCTAACTATATTGATACATATAACATGTTAACATAACAAAGCCGGAACAGAGTTACAATTATAATTTTAATTTGTTTATTAACACTAAATTAATAAAACTAAACTTTCAACCAATATTTCTAATATTTTTAGAACTGTCGACAATATATTCTGTGTGTTTCAACAGGTCTCGTGATGGGAATTTCAAAAATACATTTTTAACCATAGAACCGATTTTTGTAGCCAGTTTAGAACTAAGAAGTCATATTGTACAAAAAGAACTGTATAAGTAGGGGAAAAGTTGAAAAAGTTCACCTCTTCCCTTTCAAAATCGAGAACTATAAAAATGTACACTATATTTTATCATTTTAACATACAGCACTAACTACCTATGCAAAAATTCTCAAAAAAAGTTTTAAGTTTTTATAACTGATAATACTAAAATAATTATTGTTGAATATAAAATATCAATAGGAGAAACTTTATAAGCGCTTAATAAATTAAACGCTTAATTGTTAGTTTGTGAGAATTGTTAACAAAATTGTTATAAGTAGCCAAAATTATCTTTAGAATGTTTCATGACGATAGAGCGATTTATCATAACATATATCGACAAGCCCAGCGACAAAGAGACTATTTAGTATAAATAAAAAATTAATAACCTTAGTCTAGATGCTCTATATAGTTTTAAGAATCTGCCAGAAAAAACCTATTAATAATACAATTCACGTTTTTATTGTTTTAATTGCATTTATGGGCTTGCATATTTAACATAAGCTGAAATGTATTAAATTTGTTCAAGTTTTAAATAGTTTCTGACGGAAAGTTTCTAATGACCGGAATATACCTAATTTCTAGAATATAATTAATGTATGTGTATGTTGTGTAAAGTCGAAACAGTCCAGGTGTGTTCTAGTAATAGTCTGATAGTATTAGCGTCTTAAAATTACACTATTTTCGACATAGTTGTATAATGGTACTTGGTAGTAATAGTTTGATAGTACTGGCGTCTTAAAATTACACTATTTCCGACATAGTTGTATAGAACACACACAACACTTCAAAGAAGTAAGCGTTCAGCTTCCTTAAACTTTCTGCTGCACACAAAAATACACCATCTCCTTTTTGATTCTAAATCGATAGTACTACAGCGACAATACCGTTTACAGATTTAAAAGGTTAAATAATGACTTCCACGGAAGCTGTAAACCCATTATATCAATTTGTACAGAATGCGGTGGGCCAACGTCCAAGTCAACTACAATACAATCATAGATCGCCTCAATGCAATTGGAATTCCACTTTATCTTCCTCATCCTCTTTGACGCTATACAAAGTAGTAATATGTCAATTTCACCACAACCCGTCATTAACAGATACCGTGCAATGGGTTTCCCTAAACTTGGCCACGGAGCTACACATGCGTACAACGAACATTACACTTATTACACCGAGTAAATAAAATACCTTTATCACTCAGCAACATACAACTTAATTATTCAGACTTTTAAATTTCCATTTAAAAGAACTTCACAAATTTGGTTTAACCACCAATTCCGGCGATGAACTTGGGGTCAGGGTACAAGCATGATTTATATAGGTTTCTCGGTCCATAATATACGTATATAAGTTCTAGGTCTTGAATCTATATCATAACCTACAAATATTTTTTTTTTTTAGTATATTTTAATTTATAATTAAAATATTAATCCTTTTTTTTTTTATTTATACAATCAACTTTTATTTTATCTAATGTAGGAAAAAACATAGAAAAACTTACTACAACTAATGATACACCAAATTTATGTAATTGACTTAACTCACTAAAATCATATTTTCATGTGTTCCATTAGTTGCTTATAGGATGAGTTCAGTTTGATTTGGTTGTTTATTATTTCAGTTAAAAGCAGATTCTGTCAGTTCTTAAAGATCCAAACAAAGAACAATAAAGTGTTTCGTAACTTCAAAAAGTTGAATCCAATAAGGCCTTTACAATTTTGATAAATAATTATATTCAGGAAACAAACAAAAGTCGTTTAAACCGTCAGTAATTGTAGCAATACAGTATTCGACCGTCGTTTTAGATAACGTGGCACGTGCCGTCGTGCGCTATATTATGTAAGTTCTGTAGAATTGTACAATAAACAAATTATTATAATAATATTACCAGTTGAGCTCTGACGACTACTTTTTGCTGTTGGACTCGATAAACTCTGTCGGGGCACGGTTTAAAAGGAATCATAATGTATATATGTAAAACCAGACTTCTGTTAAATGATTTCTTAGAGAAACTTTGGATATTTTATAAGACACCGAGTACAAACCATTTGGTCTATGCGAATCCAACTTGAATAATAAGTATTGTTTTATGTACTTAACCGTAACGGTCGTACAACAATATTTAATCTATAAAAATGTCTACTTAATGGAAATGTCTTTGGCAATTGTCAATAAAAGAATTCGAATGAAGACAATAAAAAAAAAATATATATAAAAAAACCAAAGCCCCTGCGCATTTATGTAAATAATAATGCGTTTTTTTTTAGTATTTTGTACAAATAACTGAACGTTATAAGTTCTTAATTTCCTAGAATTTTGGCTATTATATAATAACCAATAAACAGTAGTTGCGTTGCTTGAGTTCAAAACAAACAACTGATATACCAACATATACTTAACTCATACCAACGGGGTCGACCACAAAAATTCCTTCCCTTCGCGATTCTCTGCTCATGTAATAATGGTTTTCTGTATAGACAAACAATAAACATTTAAAGCCAGACATACTAAGGATCAATAAATTGTTGACGTTTTCCAATTCAGTTTTTCATTTAAATAAGCGGATTAACATCATGACCATAAAAATATATAGTTGAAATCCTCCCAACAGTACCACAATATTTGTTTAACTTTATTATTAGGTATTTATAATAGAATTTGAATGTAATTATATATCATTTGTCTAGTATAATTTCGTCGTTTGCTTGAAAAAAAAATGATTTGCCAATTGTGGTAATCAACGATAAAGCACATAATCATAATAACCAACCACAGATTTTTCTGAATCACTTTAACTATACCATTTGCAAATTCTAACGCCGCCGTCACTCTAAACCAGTATATTTAAAAGTCGCAAAATTCTACGGAATAATCTTTTAAATGATCAAAATTTAATACATATCAAGTGTTCGAAGTACGTCATGGCTTATATTAAAATAACATAGTAATGTTTAAAAATACGATTCAAACTTTTTTCATTAATGTTCCTTGAATTTAAATAGAACCGGAAGTACGCGGAACGTCATGAATGTTTCTTCCGTTCTACTTGTCACGACCAGGTTAAGTTTAATTTTAACTTAATTTCCTGCCATCGCCGTTGATAAGATTTATTTACACGTAGGTACCTTTCCCATGCATATATGTACATGTCACTATGACTTTAACAGTTAACCGACCGGATATTTTATTTAAATCATTCACACACTAAGATATAATGTGTTCAATTTCAACTTAATTGATTTAAATTATCGATCGTTGTACTAGGAATTGGTGACAATTTTTTGCAATGTACAAATTTATAATTTATGATATTAATTTGACGATGTAGAAGATTCGTTCGGCCAACCGCAAAATTGAGGTTTTCGTTTAACGTTAAATAACATGGGTTTTATCCGCTACCTCGTGTAATTAAAATTTATAAGCGTTTTAATCGCATTTCACCGGGTCCATAAAAACAGTATAGCATTTTCAAAATTGCGTTGCCTTAGAGCAGGTCAGAACACGACTTAACTATATTCTATACTGTGCATACATTTGACAGAGACATTTTTCATAATTTCAATGCGATACAACGTTATTGTGGTAGGATGCGGTCTGCCGGAACTCTAAAAATGGGATTTTTAAACCATTGTAGGACAATGTAATAGACAATGTATCACTGAAATACATGCAAATCGGTGCTCGTTCACCGAGTCGTCGTAGTAGTTAAAATGCCATCTAGAAGAAATCTTTTCAGACTATTTTAGGTTCTATTCTTTGCTCGTTAATAAACGCCGGGGATCCACGTTCAGTATAATGTTTTAAGATTACTCAATGTAGAATTTTCGCGTTGAAAAACAAAACTTGACAAGACCGCAGTTTACACGGTTTTTGCTACAATAATAAAAATTGAATGTTTTTTTTTTTTTTTATGTAAATTACTTCTTAAGTTTAACTTCCCGATCTCAACGGGCTAGCTTTAAAGACTACTATAGCTGACTTTTAGATTAAATACATTTGTTATGGAATTTGTAGAAAATTGTAATAGTAATTATACGTATAACCAACAATAATATTGTGCGGTGTTTTGCATACAGATGTCCTGACAACGATGCCAATGGCGGCAATATGAGATCCTTACCACCGGGTCACGATGGAACCGAATACTGTAAACTTCGCAGAGACCATCGAAACCACAGCAGCAGCGGTGGCGGCGGCGGCGGCGGTGGCAGTGCCACATTCCGCCGGTCGTCAGCCACAGCGCTCTTGGAGCCGCCGCCGCCGTCGTCCGAACGGTACCATGGCACCATCGAGGGCCACTACCGCGTCCACGACCTGGCGCTGGACCGGTACGTTCCGCCTCCGTCCCCCGAACGATACTCTGTCGGCGGCAGTGGAAGCAGCAATAACAGCAGCACTGGCAGCCACGCGTCGACGACGGCTCGGTCGTACGGGCCCCACGACGACCGGTATTCGACCACGTGCCACGGCACCGTCGTCCGCAGTCATTACCTTCCGGTTTCGCAGAGCACGTCTGAAAGTTTTATGTCCCCGCCGTCGCCCGTGGCCGAACGGTTCGACTACGCCGCGCGTCACAACGATGGCTACGCCAAACGAAACGAACCGGTTTACTCGAGGTGAGTGCTGCCCGTTTTTTACACACATTTTTAGCCGTCCTGTCGTTTTCATTCTGGGTGAGTTAGAATCTTAATAGAGCAAGAAAAATTATTGTAGTACCTACCCGCACCCGACTTCCCAAAACGGTCATAAGGATATGACCATTTGTTAGCCTCCCGATGTCCTAGGTCGGATCAATATTGATTACTTATCAAGGTTTCCAACAAAAATATACTAGGTATGTAAGTGTTTAGGTGAATTCATATATATTTTAAATCAGGAATATACAATGTGATAATATTAATCACTTTAAAATACAGAACTTCATCGAAATGTCATCTACTCCCTACTGCTTTGAGTCGGATAACTAATTCCCAATTTCAACTATAAACATCCACAAGTATTAGCCATATATACTCGTAGCCTCATGATCATATTTTGTTTTACCCTACTCTACCTCTTTATTATTTTATCGATATTTCGTCTTGCCGCTTTCGAATAATCGCGTTTTACTCAAGTTTTAACATTTTTAACTATACTTATTCTATCGCAATACTCATGTTTTCAAAATATACAAATGTTTGCCCTCAGGTATCCACCGGTGGCCGAGAGGTTCGTCCCTATTGTTTCCCCCGACGACGGTTATGACGGTCACTACGACCGTTGTGATGACGCATACGCCACCACCAGAAAGGACGCCGCGCTCTACTCGAGAGCGACGGCCATCGTGGACTCGCTGCAACCGTCCGCGGCAGCTTTGTCGAGGGCGTACGCAACGGCCACTTTGAGGCCATCGAACCGCTGCTGTACGGCCGCCAGTTCCGTGTACAGCGGCGGCGGTGGCAGCGGCTCGAGCGTCGGGTGCTCCTACCAGTACGGAGGCAGCAGGTCTCGGTCACCCAGGGATCTGTCGCCGAACGCCCTGGTCCGGCCCCAGGCGGGTCAAGTAACGTCTTCCTCTACAGGGTCCTCGCCGCCCAAAGGGCTCACCACCAACAGCAGCAACGGTAGTGGTAGCGGCGGCGGCGGCGGCAACGGCATGTGCCTGGTCCAGTATGACGGTCACACGGCTACTTTGCCGCGATGCGGTAGCGCCAACGTTATTAATTGCTCTGGCCCAACACATTACGACGGTCATCGCGACGACATGCCCGCCTACGGTACCAACGCGTCGCGACGGATATCGTCGTCATGCATTAGGGAGAACACAGGAACGCTGGAGTGCTATTCAACGCCCATCTATTCCAACCAAGCAATGTTGGCCGCCACCAAGAACGCCAGCGCCGTGACCAACACTACCACAAGCCACAATAATAGTTATTCAACCCAAAACGCCCAAAGTTCTAATGCAGCTGCTCCGCCCAACAACAATTCGTCGTGGTGAGTGTATTATTAACTATATTTATACAATACCAACAAAAACTCTTTGTTGGCTCAGTTTAAAGTTTTGCAACTATAAAAAGTGTTTAACAACAGGTACCTTACCTTAAAAATAGTGGTATTAAAATAAAACCATTAGTAAATTAAAATCAAATCTAAAAACCAGTATCGAAATATATTTTTATTTATATTGATTATTTTATATATTTGTATAAGATATATACGAATATGTTTAATTTTTAACTTCCGGTGAAAACTATCTATTTGCATATCAAACATTTTAAATATTTTTGCTAGTAATTATGAAACTATTCACCCATCTATAGTTGGTAAAATTACAAAAATGTAATCTGCACAACTTTACCGATCTACTGAGATATTGTATTATGATCATTTCCGTTCAATCGTTGGATCTCAAATATCGGTTTTGCGTAGCTCCGTGTTATTAGTGTAATATTCATAGGCAGGATAGACAAGCCATAGCTGGTATAATATGTAATGGGTGTAATTTATTTATTTGTATGGTATGGGTATAATAGTAATGGGCATTTGTTGCCAAGTAAAACAAACTACAAACAATAATACCAATAATGCTAACATTATGTCCTGGCACCTCCCCAAAGAGGAAAGCTTGTGTTTAGTGTAATGATGAGTGTAACGTAACATAAACCATTTTAATCAGCCGTAAATCAAACACAAGTAAATTTATCGTACATCTGAATCATAAAAAATAACAAGGTTAGAATACAGTTATGATAATTATCCTATTAACCGAAGTGGAAGGATTTAAGATGCTTAACCCCTCAAAAAATGAAAAGTTCCCTACAAAAACTGCAAAACAAATCATAAATCAATGCAGACGTTATCAATTTTAATTTAGTAATGGAAAAATAGGGACTGAATTTTTGTTTTCCGGAAATTCTGCCCGACGTTTTATACTTGAAATATAATCATTACAATGTCTAATGTAATCTTGATAAAATCATCTACTAAAAAATATGTATTACACTTGATATCAATCAATATTGTTGACTCACCGAAAATGATTTACCGAAGACTGATGGATTCTAGGAATGCAAAAGTATTGTTATACATAATAGCTTGACGACGCTCTAATAAGTGGAAAGTGTAGGATTTACCAAGAAACTGATATTGTTTGCTTCAGTGCACAGCAGCTATTAAGTCGTACTTCTTCAAACTGTATTTTTACGACTGACAATATCTTGCAAATTCAAAGTCTATAATATGATCGTTCAAAATATATAGACAGAATTAAGGCTAAAAAGGATGTGTAATTTTTGACAAAATGAGTAAAAGATGGAATACCACAACGACCCACTGTATATTAAATTCGTATACGACTAAAGTATAAATGCAAAAATATAAAAGTTCACTGAACAATAATATATATGGGGTTTCTATCAAAGAGAAAAAAAGTTACATCAACAAAAGTTTTCTTTTTTTTTTAGTTTTTGTTATGCATTATTTTTAGGTTCTTTTTTCGTATACGTTTGATTTAAATCACGTTTGACGGTTTTAAGAGTGAAAACTTTTTTTTTATGTTTGAAGCCATGCCAAGAAACTGTAGTTTTTTTTAAATAATCTTATGAAAATATCGTACTTGAAGATTGGTTACATAAATTACTCTAAAAGTATAGAATAAAAAAAAATTGAAATCTGAAAATATCTGTACAAACATTGAAAAAATGTGAACATTGTAATATTGATAAACTTTACATTCCTATTTTTTTTTTAATAGTGCTTTTAAACACGCGTAACCAGATTTTCTGTCAAGATTAACTAATTTAACAATAAGCGATGCTTTAGTTTTTGGTGAACCAATTTGCTAATATAATCAGTACTGACTAGTTGACTATGCGACCCATATCAATTACGTTTGAGGCTTTAACAATATTTTCAAACTGTTTTTTCTATTTATGACTATTTTATAACAATATGAATTTCTGAAATAATAATTTCATGTGTCCAAAAACTACTTGTCACGTCTGCGCTATTACTTTGTACATCACTTTCTACGCTTAAAAAATATAGACTTAACGTTAGGAATTAAATTTGATACACCTATTCATTATACTGTTAGAGCTCAGATATATTTGTAAAATAAGAATGTCTGTATAAGAACATTATAATGTCCATTAGAGAAAACTTACAAAAGAGTTATGGTGGTCTACTGTAAAAAGGTTCTAAATAGCTTTTTGTTCTTCAAACGTTTAATTTTTTTTCAATGGACGTTTTCAGACAATTAATGCATACCGTTTAAAAAAATAATGATAGAGTCTTGAATGAGTTTTCCCGAAAACTCAAAAGTAAAAGGGTCCAACAGTTAAAAATACATTAATCGATTAATTTGACAACCACTTAAAGATATAGCATTATTATTATTATTCATAACGCAGAGAATACAGCACAAAAGAGTCTTATTCAATAATAAATTAAAAATGTATGAAAATAAAAACGCTATAAGTTAATAACCTAAGTGAATTGATTATTAAAAGGTTCCATTTTGCTTTTTATTGCTTACTCCTGTTTACCAAAAATGTAACTTATTATAATACATTAATGCCCAAGTATTTAACATTTTGAGTATCGACGCAGAGCTTAGAAGGTATTAGTTTTCGTTATGGACTTTTTAATGTCGTTATTTTTGTTTGTTAGTGTTATTTAAATTTTAATATTATTTTGCATACAAATAATAATACTGCGGTTGACAGCAATCACTAATACAGTGTTAAGCATTATTTCTATTGACAAAAAATAACATTTTATTTAAATAGAAATGTGTTTAAATATTATTACTTGCAATGTATTCGAAAAATGTTATTTTTGTTTTAAAAGTTTACCGTATTAAGTTTAGTTATTATCATTCAAAAATAAAAATACCAACTCCAGAACCTTAACAATACTGATACCAAAACACCTGTATGAAAGAATATTATTTTTTTTACCTTGTATGATAATTTACAGTTATATGTGTACCATAGAAAATAGGTTAGGCAATAGTAGTATAACATGATTAAATTAATCAAACTATGCATTTATTATTGATTATATTAAATTAATTATAAAAAAAATATTGTGTAAAATAATAATAGTATACAAATTATTTTATTGACTATCAAAAAAACCAGGATGGTAGGTAAACACTAAATATATCTAATTAAATATAAAAATTCTACTAAAACAATAATTACACAAATCAAACACCCGCAAACGGTGTAAAATATTAAAATTTCACATTACTAACTTATTGACAAATACATTTAGCGTATATAGACTAATTATCCGAATCTAGACAATAATAATTGGTAATGTATAAAATACAATAATGTAGTGTAATATACTAATACTATAGTAAATAGGTACAATTGCAGCACACCCTCGCAGCCCTGAAACAAACAAAAGTAAAATATTATTGATATGTGTTTACAATTTTATTACTAACTTCGCCTAACCTTATGTTGATTTTGTACTTTAGTTTATAACACATTTTACCAAACGGATAAAATTTTATATAATATTATTTTTTATTTAAATGGTTATTTTAATAAAATATTAGAATTTTATTTTTATTAAAAACATCCGATTACGCCATATAACAATAACTAGGGCCCGGAAATTATATAATAAGACTATTTTTACTGAATGATCCGTAAAAATTCGAACAGTTACAAATGTGAACCACATTTTAAAGATTCCAAATTCAAAAATTTCTTTTGCATTTTTAAATTTTGTTTATCTAAAAGCACCGAAAAAATAATGATAATATAAAATAATTTTTTGTTTCTTAGAAAAATAGAGAACTATATAGTAAAACATATGAAAATTAATAAAGGTTGTCAATTATTTGTTTGCATAATTTTTTTTATTTGAGTATTTTAAAAAATAAGGGTTTATTTTATATTTTAAGAAAGAATAAATATCGTATTTTATTAAAAATTCGTTTTATATAAAATAATTTTATTTAGTTTTTGTGGTTACAATTATTAATCTAAACATATTAAAAAAAAACTTAAAAACTAAAGATATATATGAAAATGATGTTAAGTGCTTTTTTGGGATTTTATAAGAGCTTATTTAGGCTATTATTATCGTATAAAGGCATGCATATTTCGGTTATATTTAACGCACAATTTTCCGGGCCCTAATAACAATAGTAAAAAATAATATATCATGCATACCCGTACTAAGCGGTGTAGAGATCATTTCCGCTGGCCAAACGCGGTGACGGTCAAGCCCGAATCGATTGCATGCGGTTGATTTGTTTTTGGAGCTTCACGTAGGTCAACTCGAGTTTTTGTTTTTTCTTGGCTATTTCGATCTCGTGCTCCTTCTTCTTGAGCCGGCTGTTCTTGGCCGCCTCGTTGTTCTTTTGCCGTTTGATATAGTAGTCCATGCTGCTGTTGCTGCTGCCACTCCCTGAATAACCGCTGGTCTTCGACGAGTTCATTTTGGACTTGGCGTTTTTCGAAAATTCAAAAATTCGCACTACCGAAGCTATATAGTTTAATATAGTGCGTTTCCGTGTGAGTAGCTGATGGTGTTTCGTCGAAGTACACTGGCAATATGTGTCGGGTGGTCGGACGTCCGTTCGGTTATATTATAGAGCGCGATGGCTCTAATGAGATATTAATAGCCTATCGACACCTGTTAATGGCACTGGCCGTCTACCTACATGTCCAACCAAATACCCTAATACCGCAATGCAAAGTGCCTTTGTGTACGATATTGAAACGAAATGATTCCAAAAATTAGGTAAACGCCAATTTTACAAATGTGTAATAGTAAAGTTAATTGCGGTTGGACTCGTTGATGTTTTCAAGGGAAAAATACATTTACAATTATTATGTGCTTACGGCGCGTGTATTCCACATATACCTGCACTAGGACCTGTATTGTACTCGGTATCCATTAATAACGTACCAATACCCTTTTACAATAATATACGTGATAATTATACAAATGTAGGTATTAACCAGCTGGCAGCTAATACGGTAAAGTAGGTTTGAACAAAATGCCTCTATAGGTATAATACTATACTATTTGCAATAAAAATTGACAAAATGTTATATATGTTATAATTTAGACATTACAGTTAAAACTACTATAGAAATTGTTAAGTTCGACTCGCTGAATAAACACTATTGTTGCTCGAGTTATAAATATTGGGGTTAAAAAATAAAAAATGAAGTTTCTGTTAAAAAAGAATTCAAGTACTTTAGGTAAATACACTACAATCTACTAAGCAATGTAGTTAACATACTATTACTACTAAAATGTATTTTACTGTTGGTTAACATACATAGTACTAACGTAATTTATTTGAATTGAATTTGTTTTTATTTGTTAAGTTTTGAATATTTTTCTCAGGTCAGTGAACTATAGTTGAATGATTTGCCTAAGGTCGATATGGTTCCTATTTATTCATACCCAGTACAGAGTGTCGTAGTGAAGTATTTATGTATTATAGTCAATCGGCCACCTAAGGTGAACGACTTACCTGTAATACTTAACCAATTAGTTCTGTATATTATGCTGATCAGCTTGTATTAAAAGTTGTGTAAGATTCTTGGAAAAATATTTTCAAAATAAAAACCCTCAAAATCTTAAATGATTTTATGGTACAATTTAATTAGCCTATTGAGTTTTTATTTATAGACAGTTTTAGTTAAAACTTAATTTTGAAAGGCTAACCCTTTTTTACAGTCATTAAAAGGATGTAAACAAAAATAAAACTTCAAACTTTTGTTTATTTAATAATAATTAATATTAATCCAATGATTTCAAATTGTGCTTGACTACAAAAAAAATCTAGTTTTGGTTCCCTACACCGCTGTCACGACGCCAATTAGCTCACTTATAATTATAATTCAAATAACATTGATAATATAATAATATATTTTAATAAATCTACCGAAGTTTTGGTCTTAATGGCGGATAATGTCATAAAACATGGTAATTGGTTTTAATTGTTTTGTCGGAAAAGGTTTTATATATTTTTTTTAAAATTGTTAGAACCTTCAATATTCCTTGCGCTAATATTCTATAATTAGCAAACATTTTTTTTAAGTAGAAATTAAGTCGTTACTGTTCTTAAAAGGGTTAAATGTATTTAAATTATTTTGCTCCTCCTCATACATATCTACAGTAAAAAACATCCAAAAAACGTAATAAATAATAAAATATGCTTTTCAAATGTCAAGATTGACAGTTAAAAACAAAAAAGTAATTGATTGGTTTCTTATCATTTAACTAAACTTACAAAACTTGTTGGCTAACATAATATCAACAGTTTTTATGCACCAATAAGCGCGTTCTTATTTTTAGTATATTATAATTTAAAATTAGGTAATAATTTTTTTCATTTGAAACCAAATTGAATATTATACAAATATACTAAATTTTAAAATCTATTTTTTATCACTTTTTTATAAGTCTAGTGTCTAATCATTCAAATTGTAATAAAGTATTGAATAACATGTCTATCCATTTAAATTAAATTAACAAAGTATATAATAGTGCAATAACTGAGAGTTTTTTAAATTTAATCACTTAACCCTGACAAAATAATGCTTCTCTAAACAATTTAAAAATTATTATAAGATAGAACGTTTTTATAACCACTCGAAGAAATAAATTATAACATAAATTTCTCTCAACATCAATATTTTATAGTTTCCTCTTTCTGTATAATATAACCTTGTTAGCTTCGCACTCGAGCAAAGTTAAAACTTTTATGTTGGGTTGTATGAAAAATAAGTTAAAAATAATTAAATTTGAAGACACCGATTTGCATTGTAATTTTGAAAATTGAATATCTAAAGTAAATATTAGTATTCTCTGTGAGTTATTAATGTACATTATATAACTTAATAAAAACAAATGACGTTTAAACGTTGTAAACGAATCTAATTTAATGAACCGTAAGATCCGCCGACGTATATTTATTTTATTATTAGGTATTCTTGTGATGTTAAATTTAATTGAAGCTAATCGTGTTCGATTTTAACACAACTTATCCAAATTCATTTGGCTCTTAATTACATTATTACAAGACGCTTTTTATAAATTATTATTTATAGTTAGTAGCACACGGATTTGTTTAGGACATTTTTGTCTACGCTTTAATTTGAATTCACTGTAATGTTATAGCGATTCTTTTTCTATCTCTCGAAATATGTCGACTTAGGTTCGTGTCACTGACAGCCTGGAAATCTTGAACTTGTCATTTGAATGATGTGCATAGTATGAATTATTCTGATGTACATTGTCAGTGTCAAAAGACTGTGAAAATGTGTGTCTATTTACCATTCTCTTCGGTTAGGTACCTACCCGATAATAGAGTGTCTAGACAGCGGACCTGCCTAAACGGTGGGGGTAAAGCATGTATACTAACATCACTGTACGCGGTACCTACATTATATTATTGTATTTTATACAATAATAATATTATTATAATGGCAATGAAGGATGTACCATATAATTGCATTAGCTCGCGCGGTTCATTGCGTTTTACCTACCCTAAGTAATTATATTATTATTATTGCAACGGTGAATTGTCAGTCTTAATAGAATTTAAATTGTTTATTTAGCATTTCTCGCAAAACGCTATTATGCTATGTATCCTATGTACATTTCATTCACTGTCATTTTCAAAACCACCTTGAGTACAAGCTATAATACAAAATATACACTATGGTGTTCAAAAACTAATTTTCTTGACAAATTTAAAAAGCTTTTACAAACTTTAAAGACCTTATTACATCAGCTTAACGTTGATATTTTAATGATACTTCCTTAAATAAACGGAAATTACATTTTACATTTTTTCTCCGAACTTTCTCCGCAGTTTTAATGTACATGTTTGAATGTTACTAATTAATTTAGTAATTAATATTTTTATTTTAATAGTTCAATGTCCGATTTACCGATTTTTAGGAACTTTAATTAGTCTTTAAAATTACCCAATGAAATCTATTTGTATTTTTATGATTATAACAAATAGGTAAGTAACACCCCAGTACAAATATGTTAACAACATAAAGCTGAAAGATAACCTTTTAATACTTCTCTATATAGACTTTTTGGAGTTTCTATTAAATTTTCGTGGTAAAATCGGTCCAAATCGGATATTAACAACATGTTCAAACCTTCAGAAGTTGGTACCTAAACTAAATGTCCAATATAACAATACACTAAAAAAATTCTATGATTAAAGTCATCAATTTTTATTTTATTACTTTATAATTAAATCATGTTAATTCAGGGAGGGAGGAATGCCACATTTTTCAAATTACTGACTCGCTGGAAAGACAAACAAAGAAGAAAAACTGAATTCCTAACGCTCAGTGCAAGAAAAGCTAATATATTTTTTTTAATTCCCTCCTACCGATATTAAAAAAAAAAACACGAAGGGGCCGTCTTCCTCCCATCCTAAACTTTAAACTTATAAACTCTGATAATTATTCAAAATTAGTTAACTATCAGTCATAACTTTAAGTAAATTATACTTAATTTAAAAAGTTAACAAAATATCTGCGTTCAAGTTTCAAAAGTTGATAGATTTCTGGAATTAACCACGAAAAATAAATTTGAATATTGTAAAATAACGTGTACTAAATAAAAATTGTCTCCGAAAAGGAAAACTACAAAATTGTAATTATTTTCCAAGAAAGAGTGTGTTATGTAACTACGTCACTTTGAATAGTAATCTGTAATAACGTATAAACATAGTGTATAGTTTGAAAACGCCTATTTTAGTTGGTAAATGAGAATAGGTTTTTTTTATTTCGAAATTGCGAAAGCGGAATGAGTAACTTGGTCTGTTTTGCGTATTACCTAAATTAAAATGATAATAACAATGAATAACAGCAGGTAATGGTATAACAGCAGAAATATCTCAACGTCCACAAGAGTATGCCTACTCTTTTTTAAACATTTCAATTGTTTAGTCACAGAATAAACCTAATCGTCTATTCTGTGGTTCAGTTTTCCAACTAGCAATTAGTTACCTACCTACGCAAATTTCATTATCATCACGAACAAAGAGAAGGTCGTGTCTTTGTTTTTATGTTAAATATTTTACTTGCAGTCGAATTCAGTTTTTTACCATGTTCTGCGTACCGTATACGCCTTACATACATTTAAATATCTTTAATTTTGCTACTAAATCAGAAATCTGTCCCCGGTTAACGCTCCTTTCTAAATTTATTGATGAGTAGACCAACAATAATCTCAATGATTTGGGCAACTGATAACAACCGATGGTGGCCTCAGTGACTCAGTGACTGTTATCAACAGGAAAACCTTGTTCATTTGTGATAACACTGTAAAAAGCAGAAGGAATAATTGATATTTGATTAATTGGACCATAAACCGATTATGACTTAGGAGTTTAAGAAAATTAATTATAACTAATAAGTATAATTGATATTCTACATTACCTTTCGATATGTTTATATTGTATTGTCTTTTTCGTGTTGGCCAATTACTTACATAATAATTTACAGTGAAAGGTTACTTTTTTATTTTTTATAACGATTATACTTAAACATTTTACTGCGCTGTATCAAATTATATTTTAATGTTTTTCTTTCTTTTTTTTTTTTATGTGTTCAGGAAAGCTGGATTCAGCAATAAAAGTTCGGCAATTCAAGCTCAAGCTAATTCAAGGTCACCACCACTTTCTATAACATCGAGTCCTGGATCCATCCAATCATCAACCAGGTATGTCTTGTGCACTTTAAATTAAACAACATTCTTATGATTTGAAAATAATGTTCATCGGGTCATTACTATAAGTTCTAGCAGTGGTGTTCATTCGGCGCCGCCAAATATGGAATCGGGCCCTGACCGTAAGCATGATGCCCCGTTAAGAACTATGTCGGCACCTGTACCTAGTGTGTCGCAACAATCATCTTCCTCTGAAGTGACAACGGATAACTCGGAAGAAACAGCTAGTACTTGTACAGTACCAGCCAACAGTGGATCGGATCAACCTAGTAGTCCTCCGTCGGAAACCGTGCATCAGCCAACCCATATACATCATCAAGCTTCGCTTCCTATTTTATCGTCCGACATGTTAAACAAACCACACACTTTTACCAGATCTACAAGCACAACGGAAGCTATTAAAAAGTAATTGAATTTATCAATTACCTAACATTCATATTTGTCACTAATTTGCATTACTATTTCGTGTTAGATTTGTCAAAAGAGAGACAGCCATGTTCTTTGGCCTAGACGAAGAATATGAAGAGACTGAAAAACTAAAGTGGTTAGACAGAAGAAAACGACTTGCCACTAGAAAATATGGAGAATTAAAACTAGAATATGCCACACCTACAACAGATATTCCTATTGCTCAAGTTTCACAGGTGATAAGCTATTTTGGTTATTGTCTGAATTTTGTTTTGTTTTTTATTTACAAAAAATATATAACGATTGTACTTTAATTTGTAGCCGGACTTACTGACGTCAAATCGTGATATTGATGAAAGAGACAGTGTTTCGCGTGTTCAACCGCTTGGAAGAAAACCTTCAGTCGCCAAACTAACATTAAGTGGAATATCTTATGTTATTTCGGTATTATATATTTGTACTCTATGAAGTGAATTCCCTTTATTATTTTGGTATTTCTTTAACTAGAAAACTTTAAGCCGTAAAAAGAAAAGGTCTGTGTCAACATCGAGTAATTGGTCAAGAAGTTACCCAACATCCGCTGTATCCGATACTTCTACAATGCCTTCGCAATTGGTTGATGATGTATGTATAATAATTAATTATCAATTACATTTAAGTTTTGGTAATCAACTTACATAAGACATGGTATTTTTTTTTTAAATTGATGGCAATTTTGTAGTTTTATTATTATTTTTTGTTTTATTACATTATTCTCAACATTCCCATGTTAAAAAATGATTTTGATAAAGAACTTAATTTAATAACTGAAATAGCTAAATTTAATGGGTATGATGCAAATATGATTTTTAGATTAGTTAACAAGCATAAATGGTCAAGGGAAGTTAAAACAGCCAGTATGCTTAGTAGGAGGGACAATGAAAAAATTATAAAATTGGGTATGGTTTATTTTCTAGGTATTTCAAGGGGGTTAACAAATATTTTTTAAAAAATACGATATACTCTAGTTGCATCAAAAAGTAATAACTTAAAATCTTTATTAGGTAGTACCAAAGATAAAATGGGGGAAGAGGAAAAATCCGGGATTTATAAAATACAATGTGAAGATTGCGATAAATGCTATGTAGGTCAGACAAAACAAAATATTGGGGTTAGGTTACAAGAACACATAAGGAACATTAAAAACCAAGAAGTACACAAATCTCCTGTTGCGGAACATTTATTGGATACTAATCACAGCATTAAATCTGTAAAATTACTAAAAAATTTAAATAACTCTAAAGAATTTAATATTAAAGAAGCAATAGAAATATTGAAAAATAGAAACAACTTTTAAACTGGGACTTAAGTCCATTACAAAACATTTTATTAAAAATTATAAAACGTGTTGACGATGAGTCAACATTTCTGTCATTTTTTAATACCTTTTCCCAAACTAAACAGATCTTTTGCTAGGCAAGGGCAGGCAATGTGTATTTAACAGTTTTGCTGAAATATTGTAATTACAATATTTGAGACTGATCTGTTTAAGGTGTTTTTTGATCGACTGTCCTCGGATAACGGCGACCAAGGAATAGAACAAGAAGTCGTAGATTCTGGTGGCAATTATGAGACCTCAATTAGACATCATTATAATAAACCACATCAAAATTTCGGAAGGTATTCCAGCTGGCAGAGAGATCCATCTCAAAGGGTAGAAGACGATCATATGCCAAACATCGGTATGAGTAGAATCTGGGGCCGAGTGTTGGATCGAGCGTTCGATAATTCTGACAGACGACAATATGGAATGGGTGTTATTGGACGATTGTGCAGGTATAATAATAGTTGTTGAAACTCAGATGTATCGCCGTAAGTTGTTTTAAATATTAATTTTTGTTTTATTGCTATTCTAGACGATCTCTCAATAAAAACGTAACCAACAGAAAAGATGTGAAACAACAGCTTGACGACTTGGAAGATCATCGTCCATTTTTCACCTATTGGGTGACTGTAGTTCAAATTTTGGTGCTATTTCTTTCAATTTTTTCTTACGGATTAGGTCCTTTTGGAATTGATTTAAGTCATCAATCCGGCGCTGTAAGTATACTGTTAGCAAGTATAAAATCATTTATTTTTTACTAAATGATAAATGAATACACAGGTCATGGTAACCAGCCTGTCAGTACAAATAATCGAGTATGTAGAGCCTTCAAATTTTTGGATTGGTCCCAGAGCCGTAAATATTGTTTTTACTTTTTTTAATCTAACCTTTTACATTTGGAAGTCTGGTGTTAAATTATTGTTTTATTACAGGCTGATTTAATACATTTAGGAGCTAAATTTGCTCCATGTATGCGTAAAGATAAAAATATAATGAAAGAAATTGAAAAATGGCGTGAAAAAGAAAGAGAAACTGCTTGTTGTATCAGAAACGATGATTCTGGATGTATTCAGGCATCAAAAGAACAATGCACAGTAAGATAATATTTATTTATTTATAACTCTACTCTTATGTTGTATAATAATATTACAATTTTTTTTTTTAAATACTATTTTAATAAGTCTAAAGTTAAAAAGCTATTTGGTGTGAATGACATTTTTTTTAGTCCTTGTGATAACATAAATTATATAGCTTTGTTTTATTCTAATAACTCAATATGAGAGGTAAAAAAATTGTATGTGAAAAAATACTTAAAAATACTGTCGTAAATATTTTAGCTTCAATGTGAAACTGAAAAGGTATTAGTATTAAGTATATATGCTCAATGGTATTAGTTTTTAAGTAAGCTGACAATTTCTTCATTCTATAATTATAATGTGATTAAAGTATAAAATTTGAAGTTTACGCCAAATAGCCTTTTAACCATTAAAGTGTTTCACTCATAAACAGTCATAATAAATATTTTATTCTATATTTAAAAATAACTAGTGTATACACTGAATATAGATTTTAAAGTAGATATAAACAAGTATTGAAATCTGATTTAAAAATTCCAATAAACTTTAAATTTAAATAATTATTTTTGTATTTATATAGTATGAGCTATAATTTTATAATTAGATACATATTTGACAACTCTTCTTTATAAATTTCCCCAAAACTATTTATTCTTACCGAATGTTTGTCTGTTTGTACTGTTCCTCATACCATCACATAAACGTCTGGTGGATTGGAGTACTGGAGGAGTTAGAGGAAGTGGAGGTGATCATGATAAACCTCCTTTGGTAAGATCTAAAGTACATTCAGTCGTTTGATGGTTGTTATTTCTTGCATTATTTGAGAATTATGCTTGTACTCTATTATTTTTATTTTTTTTAAACATACATATTATATCATTTTGTGTTGTATTTTATTTTAGTAGGTTTTTTTTATTATTATTTGTAGATTAGTATTCAATACTTTTTTTCTTATAGGTAATTTGAATGTTTTTAATTTATTTATTCTTCTATTTTGTGTTTTTATTTTATGTAGCTGAATTTTTGAAATGTTAGTTATTTAATTACATTTTTATGTGATTTCTTAGACTTCAATTTCCAAGTGGAAAAAATGGTCAGAAATTGAAGCTGGACCCGGGGGAAGAATTTCCGGTTCTGTTTGTGGTCTCGATCCAAAGTATGAATACATTGTAGTACTTTTTTTTCTTTTTTTTTTTGATATATTGAGTAATATTTTAATTTGGAATTAAATATAAATTTATGTTAGATATTGTGAAGCTCCTGCCTCGGTAGCACCGTACGAATGGCCAGATGATATAACAAAATGGCCAATATGTCGAAAAATGAGCGGTCGAGGTAGCGCACAACGACACAGCAGTTGGGGTAGCTCAGTAATCAGCCAGAAATTGACATCTGCAGAACACATGATTTGTGAAGTGATAGGTCATCCGTGCTGTATTGGTATACATGGCACTTGTCGTATAACTACTCGTGAATATTGCGATTTTGTACACGGCTATTTTCACGATGATGCTTCACTTTGTTCTCAAGTAAATAGCCTTACAATACAATGTTAAACTTAAAATAGTATAATTATTTAAATTTTACTAAACAGGTGTCATGTTTAAACGATGTATGTGGTCTTATACCATTCTTTTCTCCTGAAATACCAGATCAGTTTTACAGGCTGTGGATATCACTTTTTATACATGCCGGGTTAGTATACATTTGATGATGTCTATTTAAACTAGAAACGTTTATAGGTGTGTAAGCTTAAAAGCGTTAAGGTTTTAGGCTTAAAAAAAAAGTGACAAAATATAAATATTATTTTAAAACATATAATATGTTGAAAGAATTTTTTCTGTTATTTCAGTTTCAAATACTCATGACTTTTTTTACATTGAAATAAATTGTAGTTGTATGAATAATTCTTTTAAATTTGAGCATACTTTTTAAAAATATTTATATATTTTTTTTAATTGTATAAGAAAAAAAAAGAAAATCATATTAATTCTGAGGCAAATATAAATTAGCCGACAAAATTATTGATAACATAATATTTAAAACATTTGTTTGGGTATTCATTAATAGAAAACTTCAATTAATACCCAAAAATTGCATAAAGATTATCACAATTTAATTCAGAATACAGTTCTGATATAAATCGAGTGAAATGATTTAACTGGCAGGTTAAATGTATATAATATAAAAACAATTTTATATTTTTTACAGAATCTTGCATTTAGCGACCACAATTGTAATTCAATATTTTTTGATGCGTGATTTGGAAAAACTGACTGGTTCGTTGAGAATAGCTCTGATCTATCTGGGTTCCGGAGTTGCTGGTAATTTAGGCAGTGCAATATTTGTACCGTACCGAGCTGATGTAAGTGAATTGATTTTTAAAAATGTCTAACGTTTTAAAATTATATTTTAACTGTAACAATTTCTTTGTTTTAGGTTGGTCCAGCCGGATCACAATTCGGCCTCTTGGCGTGTCTCATTGTGGAGGTTATAAACTGTTGGCCTATGTTAAAGAGGCCCGAGCAGGCTCTCTCAAAGCTGTTAGCTATCACATTCCTATTGTTCCTGCTCGGGCTGTTGCCTTGGGTGGACAACTTCGCACACCTGTTTGGCTTCATATTCGGGTTTCTCTTGTCGTATGCATTACTGCCGTTTGTTTCTTTTGGGCCGTACGACCGGCAGAAGAAGATCTTCCTCATCTGGGTGTGTCTGTTATTGGCGTTATTCTTGTTTTTATTACTTGTGTTGTTATTCTATCTAATACCTATGTACGAATGCGAATGGTGTAGCTATTTCAATTGTGTACCCATCACCAAAGACTTTTGTGCTAATCAAAACATCAATTTTAAAAGGGACGATTATACAGTATGACAAATGTGGTGGCGACGGTACAAGACCGCGCATAAATTAGTGACTAATCAATTTGTCTCTTTAGCCAGCTCTGGCAAAGTGCACAGTGTATTTATTAAGGTTATTGTTCTCTTTTTAGTCGTAAAAAGCCGAAAGGGGTCAAATAGCCTAAATGATTTGTTTCTGACATACCGAATACCTAAACACTTGTCTGAAGATAAATTTGTGACTTATTTTTGAAACTGTGTAAAACATTATTATTAATTATTATACTGTTTATTTATGATAATGATGTTGACTGATATTAAGCGATAAATTAGCGTTAAATATTAAAGTGGTATAACCACAAAACAAATGGTTTTACTATTTACAATATAAATGATAAATAACTGTATTATGTACTCATAAACTTTCTCAATTTTTTTTTTTTTTTATTGTAAAATGTATTAATAAGATTTTGTTTTGTACAAAATATTGATCGATAACATATTTGGTGAAACTACAAAGATTACGATTACCATTTGGACCTTGTGGTTAGGCTAATTCTTTGTCAACATCGATAATATTTCATTTACAATAATTTGCTAGATATCAAAATGGTTAATACATAATTCACACTCAAGTGCAATAATATTATTTATTTATTAATTAAGCAAAAGTTGTTGAAAAAAAAAACCATTCCAGTTGTTGTACTTACCGTGATAAAAATTGTGAACTATATGTTTTAGTCGTGGCCAAATATGCATAAATGGATTATATAATATGTGCAATATTTTTCAGATAATTTGTTGTAAAATACTTTTATTCGGCTTGTATATTTTTGTGTATTTTATTGTCTACCAATTTAATAATAACAATTATTATTCCATTAATAATAAATAACACGTGTTAGGTGATAAAATAATTAACAGGTATTATTTTTATTAAATTTCAATTTCCATCAATCCGTACTAATCTATATTTATTATCTAGATCTTTGTAAATAATATTACATGTCTGTGTACTGTGAATTGCCGCGGTTGTATAGTGTTCTTTTAAAATGTCTTTAATTTCAGGGTAATCTTTACAAAGAAATAAAAATAAAACAACATGCAACAGCTGTTTCTATTTCAAAATCGGTATTTAATTGAACACTACAACAGTAGGTGCAAAGGTGATAAAATAAGTTATCAAATATTTAAGGACAATGTACACGCTGACATAATGTAATTATTACAATATAGCTCAACATTAGCTGAATTCGTTGATAAATTAATTTTTATAAAAATCATGTTTTTTTTTAGAGTCCTTTATTGTGTATTTTGTCAGTTTTTATTAGCGCATCATCGTCATCCAGTTGATAAATCTACAATTGATGATGTGATGGTACAAAAATTGTGTAATTATTGCTGCACGAATTGGTTTTTATAAAAATTAATTTATACATTCGAAATAGCTTGCTGATAGTTGCTTCCTATAATTATTAATACACGATACGATGAGACTGTTTAATCATAAAGATGTGTAAATAATACTTAGGTTAATATTTTTTTAAGAAAAAACAATTTATTTATATATATGTTTAGTTATTTATATAGTTCTGTGGTTAGGTGACCAATTATTAGTATAGGTACCTAAGTCATATTATTCTGTCCTTTTAGGAATTGTGTTGACTTATCACAGAGGCTATAATCGAACTGAATTTGTATGAAACCATAATTTGTAATAATTAACATGGAAACACCTAAATTATATATATATTTTTTAAAATTAATTTTGATGTCAAACTGAAACGAATCCGCTATGTAGTTGATTTTAAAATAAGATTTTGTGGTCATGAAAAAAATAAAAAGTATTTCCCAATAAAGTTAATTGGACAGCCTTCCAAAAATCGTTAGACGTTGACTAATCATTTATTTATGTGTTCCCAAAATGTTGGTAAAAATAGAAATTTCTATTAATTTTACCAAGTTATTATTAATTTTTTACTTTCTCGCAGTTAATAATTTAAAAAAAAAACGCTTAAATATTTATGTAACTTACATCGCTTTGCACAATAATTTAAAAAAATTAAAATGTTGACATAAGTACTTGAAAAATATATACATTTAGGTAATTACTTCTTTTAAATCCCTTTTATTTAATCACAATACCAATACTGGCTTTTATAGCGATATTTGATATAAGTTTCTTTACTGCTATTTTTTGTATATTTTATTATTTAACACCCATCGATTTTCTGGCACTAAAAATAAAGTGGAAATCCCCAAAATTTGACATTCATTTTTTTTAAATCCTAAGAACCTAACCATGGTTTTGGTTCCAACAGATTACTAGGTGATATTATATTCTCATATGACTTTCGTGTAATAATAAAAGGAAATAACGGTAAAACAGCAACAAAAATTCTTACCTGTTCCTACCTTATATTTTATTCCTATTATTATTTTTATTAGATTCGCCCCCCCCCCCCCAACATTGATGATTGATGATAGTATTAATAGTAATTATACCTATAAACAACTATTGAGTGACTAAGATTATTTTCAATTAGGTAAACACATTACAATGCATCTATAAATTATAATTAATAGATATATGATATTTTTAAATATATACATAATGAAAAATAGTTAACTATAAATATTGTATCTAATATTCAGCGTATTTGAACGGCTGAGTGGAAAAAGCTAAAATTCCAAAAATACCGCAAAAATAAACTGAAATAGCCATTTTGTAGCTGAAAGGTAAACTCATACTATGAGCGTATCCCATTTAAACTTTATAAATTATAGCTGGAATTATACAATTCCTATATAAATTATATAGGAAATAAATAGTTTTCTTAAATTTTCTGAAAGTTGAGTATTGAGGAATATTATTATCCTTTTCCCACTTAGTTTTTCATTTGGTGTTTATGTATTACGATAGTAGTAATAATAATATATTATTGTTTAAACGGCGAAGCATTGTCCTAGCGATACCTGATTATCCGTTTAACAATATTATGTTATATATTATTGTTATTAAAAATAAATAAATGAATATGCGAGTCGTGTAAATATTTTTATATATTATTGTAAATCTTCCGTATATATTATATTGTAACCTGTATAAAGACCAAATTGAAACGGTAAATTGTATATTATCTGATATTTTAAATATATATTATTATATGAATACAGAAAAACATTTAGCCCTTGTTGATTATTTTATTGTTCTTGAAGCATACAAATTTCCAGTAAACTCCTAGCGCAGCCAGCGACACTCCTGCCAAGTGTAAATCACAAGATCTGAAAAAAACGTTATAAATCAGTATAGTGGTTTATTAGTTATTACCTATATATAGTTTAGTACATGTAAACGAATTTTAAAGATCAGATTCACAACCAACTATAAAATATTTATATTTTAATTTGAGGTAAGGTTTAGACTTAAGGCTTTAGAGGGAAACTTAACACGCTATATAAATTATAAACAACCAATTTTTTTAGTATTCATTTCAAAAATGCATGGCTTTTTAACCAATCTCACTTTTTTGTTGGTGACGTAAAAATGTAATAACAACATTAACATATTGTGCTTATAAGGACGTAATCAATTTCAAAAGTAGTCTCATGTGCGGAGTGACATTAAACTAGTAATATTTTACTGTATATGTATATTGATTCTTATATAAATGGTAAAAATCATTATCTTAAATGAAATAAGAATACGGTAATACTAATAATTACTGGTTATCGTCGCCGCTTTGAAAACATCCTTGCTGGTTTTGTAATGACATGAGAACCAATAACCATTCTGGTCGAATAAAATCCACCATATTCTCCATTCCGCATACAGCAACTATAATACCATGAGTGTACAATATACATATAAAATTGAATATTATTATTCCTTTTATGCAGACTCGGGAGAGACAGGTCACAAGTTCAAACAGAATCACATAATACATTTGTATGTTACCTACTTTGTTCGATGAATAAATCTTTGTAGTCATTGAAAACATTGGAATCGCCGACTATGTACATGGCTTCGTTGAACATGGTGTTACATTTGTCCTGAGTGAATCCGTCCAGTATGATATGAACACTTGATTTGATGCAGTTCATCTATAGACAATATTAGAAATACATCATTTAAAACAACCGGCATAACGATCGGTATAAAATATGATGACGGTAATTGAGATCTGACCTTTTTCAAAATATGAATGTACAACACTTGATGGGTTAACGCGTACCCCAAAAAGTTATCTTCGAGTTCACTGCGAATGCATTTTGCAGACGGCCGGCAAGAGGTGAGCAACTCTAGAATACAAGTGTCCGATACGTTTTGAAAAAACAAGTCTTCGACAACGGACGAGTCCATGTCGGCTTCATTTATTGGTAAATGATGAGTCGAATGTATTATCTCCTTTGAAGAAGTCCAGAGCTCGGGATCGAGAATTTTTTTAGCTAAAACCAATGTCGGTTCGTTTAAGCATAACGTAAATAACACGTCTGGTTACTAAAATCCGTTTTTATGAACATATTATTCCATCGAATACGTTTTAATACAACAACACGAATTTGTTTAGTTATAATCTAATTTAAACTAATACAAATTTTTGTGTATTTTGCTATGCGTCTTTATAATAGTCTCCCCGAAGACTTACCGCTTCGCTACCGATTAAATTTATGTTGATAATATTCGATTACCTACAAAAGCATGGAAAACAGTAGAGTAATATTTAAAAAAATAGCTTCAAAATATCTGACAGGATATTAAGACTGAAGTGAAGGGGGAATATGTATAAAAAAAAAATTAAATATAAATAAATAATCAACCCGGTTTTAAGTGCTTACTAATTTTCGGTTCTGTTATATTTGTTCTGTAGAATTTCTCGTAGAGCTTATTAGTCACTTTGTTAATGGCGTACCACCTTTTCATTAGTTCGAACGATTTGCGGCTTCTCGCGGGCTTATTGACACAAGACATCAGTTGGCCTGTAAAAGTTCAAAGTAAAAGTCCGTTTATTCGACAGCTAAAATAATACATAACTTGCCAATGTAGTTAATTTCAGCAAGTATCAACACATTTGAAAGAACGCCACAGTGTGCCTATTTATTATAAAGTATAGGAAATCGTTCGATGAAACTTGTCATATCTCTAAAGTTATTATAGAGAGAGAGTTACAATGTTACATATTTATCAATGTTTAATAACAAGTATAATTCATTTATAGCTAGTATTTAGTATTTATTTTCGACTTGTACAAAACAGTCAGATCTCTTACTCGAACATGTCTCGGGAGGCGCAAGTTTCTAGGATACGACGGGCTTATGTACTTCTATAGGTTTATATTTTTTTGTGTAATACCTTTCATTATAGACACTCCGAGCATTAAGTTGGCGTTGATGACTTCGTCGTTTTCGTTTAAATAGTGAGTGATCGTTGATTCGATGGAATCCAATATTTTGCTTTGCCAATCCTGAAGGCCGATCAAGTCGTTGCCGTATGATCCGTGAGCTGTCGGGGAGCACAACAGGGTCAGACAAACGAAATACGCCCACATGATGTTGTCAACCGAGAACAGAAATGAGAATAACATGATTTTCTAGCGTCCGGAGTCTTTTATAAATTTAAAAAAAGGTCAGATTGAAACAAATGTTTATCTCGAGGGCTCTGACAGCAGGTATTAACTGCGTAATAGCCTTCAAGAGTTCACTTCAATTTCCCAAGTCCATAGATTGCCACGGGGTAGATTTAGTGTATATTTATACCGCATCTGCATGTTTTCAATAGGACGCAATTCTTTTTGTTTTTTTCATTTTACAGACACGGGTACCCAGCAACAACATTAATCTTGACATCTCGACAACGTGCTATCAAGCAAGTCATTGTGAAAGCTCAGCATAAAAAAAAAAGTCAAATTTAAAACAACACTCGACGGAGAAATCAAAAATGAGTTTTCTTTAAAAACAAGTAATTGCTTTAGATACGCCACGCAAATCGTACTCGTAGTTATTTACCTGTGAAAATTAAAAAAAATAATATACACTCAAGAAGTATACGTTTTTAGATCAGCAGCAAGTTTACTAAATAGACATCGAAGATATTGACTGAATTATAAAATAATTAACCCATTGTAATAATAAATAACCTTTGCTTTAGTAACTGTATTTTAAAATATATAATTATATAATAAACCGGTATTGTTGGTTTTTAATTCTATTGACTATTCTTCTGATTAATGTACACAATTGTGTGTGCGTTTAAAATTTTAACTAATTCGGTGGTCTATACTCTATATTATAGTAAACTGCTGACTAATGGGCATATACACTTGTATAACCACAGGGCACAGTGTCTTTTGGTTTAGTATCTATTTTAGCTAGAATGATTCTATCACTGTGTCTCTAAAATTCTCTAATTTCCCCGTCTGTAATAGCGTTCTGACATTCCAAGTTCCAATTCTTTTAATATTGTTACCTATTTTAGGGGACTATTTTACTTTCGAAGCGTTCATCTCTTTGTAAATGCTGATACCTGGGATATCCGCGAGGAACTTTAATAGCTTCCCCTTGCTTTCTGTATCCTGTGCCGTTGACGCCTGTGCATTAGATTAGCTTCTATGCTATTTTATGCACAATTCTAATCTCGCTCGTTTTTTAAATTAACAAAACTATAAAAATTAAAATACGAAAATGTTTTGCTTTGGACTTTGATCCTAATAAAATGTAAGTATGTGAGTAGGTCTTCTCGTATTTGTAGTTTATGGTGGAATTATGTAAAATAATATGTACAACAATTGACTTTTTTTTACTCTACTGTCAATGATATCAGATATGTTCAGAGTTCATCATTCGACCACAGAATGTAGATTAAAGAATCGATTGACAGAATTGATTCTACTTCATAGCCAACCACTATCTAAATAATAATAACATGCCACTTGCCAGTTAGCGTTATCACATCACTTGATGGATGTTTATCACAAAATACAAAATAGGTACATGATGAAGTAATGCAACTTTTAGTTCAGAAACTAGAGAAGACGTCTTGAAAGTTGAAACCAAGATTAAAACCTAAAATCATCGATGATAATAATTCAAACAACATCGACAGGTATAGGTGTGTTTTGAAATCGTTAAAACAAATATTGTCTATTGGGCGTTATTTAGAATACAAATTTGTTGATAAATTGTTTGTGAAAGTCAGAAAATAATCAGAGTAGATTGTAGTAATTCCAACATAAATGTGCGATAACTAATAAATGATAATACATTTTTTTGATATGTAATGATGTCGCCTGTTGGCTTTGGGTTAATATAAATGGTAATTTTATAATCGGTCGAAGTTCTTACTTCTTTGTTGGTCTTATTGACTTAGGACTTGGCCTAAGTAATAGTGGTATTTTTTTTGTAAGTGGGCCATTATTAAAATAGTTTTTTTCTAGATGAAAGTAAAATTAATAAATATTGATAATTTCATAATTCATTATATTTAATTATTTATGCAAAAATGATTTGTGTTGAAACTTATTCATTATTTATTATTCGAACAAACAATTTATTTACTATTTATAAATCAATTTTTTTACCATTTTTTCAAAGTATTATGTACACTTTGTTTAAATATAATGCGGTTTAAAATCAAACTGAAGATCACTCGACTGCGATTTAATTATATGAATGTTAAAAGGCGATTTATCATCTATGACATCTATACAAATACATTTTACATTTATCTAAGATGAAAAAATGCTATAAATGTTAATTTTTCCCTAGAACAAAGATAGTTGTATGATATAAACTTATTAATAAATTTAGAAAAACCAGTTTTATTATTTATGATAATTTATTTTTAATAAATTAAGGTACCTAATATGTTTTCTATAAATAATAAATAAATAACTTATATTTTATCGAGTTACAATTCATTTTAATTGCAAATAAAAAATGATTTTTAAAAAAAAAAAATTAACTATTCAAATTACATTTGTACAATACATTATGAATAGAAATATAAACCAATATGAAATGCATGGATATTGTTGGTGTGAAATTAATAAAGAAAGACATGTTAAAATATTAAAACATTTATTTTACCATGAACATGAACAAGTATGACAAAATAAATAGGTTCGTATGACAAGCCCATAAAAACGGATTTAATTAAAAATATTATAATAATTCAAAAACACAATTTGTAACATATCTGAGATAACTAATAAACAAATAATTTACAATAGTTCTCTTATTTAGGATTTAAACGATAGGGTTTTGTACTTATATTTAAAATTATGCATTTAACAAACTCAAATTCTGTTTTCTTTTTACTTGGAGTATTATTTTCAATCAAATTTGTACAATATTCAAGAGATTCAATTGTAAATAAATGTTTCATTTTTTCATTAAATAGTAACTAGTACTTGAATATCTAGTTCAGTATAATTTATTTTAACTAAAAAAATATTATATACATTTCATTAACTTTAGAATATATATATATATGGGACTCAAAAACATTAAAAGAGCACCGAATTAATTAATTCGTCGTTGGGTACATTTGTTTAGTATAATTAGGTTAACTCTTCGAGTATTTTTAGGTAATATTAATAATACTCTTGTTGGTAAATGAACACAAAATATAAACTTCATAGTTAACAACTAAATGTGGAGTTTAATATCTGAAGTTCCATTTCTTTTTTTTTAAATAAATATATTATATGTTATAATTTAAAGCGAGAATATTTATTACTATTATATAATATAAATCTCGAAAAAAATAATTAAAAGCAAGTATAAAGCCATTACTTGACCATTGAATTAAAACTACACATAAAATACTGTTTCGTACACATATTTGAACTCCCTTATTTGTTTTTCTCAACTAAAAAAAAAAAAAATGACCAAAACATTATATAATATTAATTATTAATACATAAAAATATATATATTTTAACATGCTTGATGATGATAGTAATAATAATAATAATGATGATAAAAATATATAGCTATTTGATTACTTAAAATAAGTACAACATTGAGACATAATAATAGAATAATAATAATAGTAATTTAATATAATATATTAAATTACATGGACGTGCAATAATTAACCATAAACAGCACATATACATTTAGTTAACATTCAATAAATTTTATTTGTTAATAATTCATTAGTTAATATTAATAAATCAAATATTCAAAAAAATAAATAATTACTAAAAAGGCACTACTACATAATATTAAACACATGATTATAACATAACAAAATTAGTTTTAGAAAAATTACATTTGAAAAAAAAAAATGTTAGTTTATGACAAAATATAACGTTTATATATTCATATGGAAAGGGACATTACGTTGAGCCGAAATTTGATTTAATTGTAATTGCACAATAATCATTTTAAACATCCTATTTTCTTCATGTCATTAGTTTGATTAGAGGAACTTTGGCACGATGGCAGTTTTTATTGTAAATGTTCAACAATAAGTACAAATAATTTATTGAAAATATAAGTGGGGAAGTATTAAGTTTAGACTAGACTATTATTTTATCATATGTTAAAAAAAGTTGACAAAAATAGCTAAGGAATAATTTAGCTAGATTTGATTTCCCATTCACCATTATTATTCATCTAGAATTTCTTTGTCATTCCACATGTTTTTTTTTTAAACGTAGATTTAAATAAAATTCATTAACATAATAGAAACGTAACAAATACAGTGGTGAAACAAAAATCAATAATATTTTATGAAAAATACAATAGCGTGCACATATTGCACCACCGATAACAATTATGTGTTAATTACATGTATGATTTTCGTTATAAATTTGTCTAAAAGTTACAACTAAGATTATGTAAATTTTTTTTAGAGTTTTTCCTTAGATGACACCCAAATATGACGGCCAGAATGTCGTTCTATCATCGCTTTAAGATTATCGTACACTTCTTCGTAGGTATCTCCTTGTACAATAGCTGTAAATTGATCACCGAATTCTTGTTCTATTTTAGCTGCACGTTCTACATGTTTTCTGGCTTCTGCTTCGCTCATACGTTTGCACATTTCCATTAATGCCTCTACGCTTTTTGGTTTGAAGAATATTGCAATTGGATGTAGCCCGGCCACTTGGAGACGTTTAATGGCATTTCCACTTACATCTAGTATACAATGTTTACCTGATTCTGCTACGTGGCGAACAGACGACACTGATGTTCCATACAAATTGCCGTTAAACTGTCCAGCCTCGATGAATAAATGGTTCTGGATATCTAGATCCATTTGTTCTCGTGATTTAACAAAATGGTAGTCACGACCGTCCACTTCGTCTGGTCTTATTTCACGAGTTGTATGCGGAACACAAGAGCTAAAGCGCTCCGGATATTCAGATATAAGGTCGTCGTTGATTTTGTCCTTGAGAGGTCCAAGAATGATGACGGGTCTAGTGTATGTAATTTGAAGGCGTACCTAAAAAAAAAAAAAAGTAGAATAAATACATATCTTGGGTACATGTTTGACTATCATATAAAATGGTTTTGAGCTTTTATAATAGCAGTAAAAACTTAAGACCAGCCATTATAAAATATAAGTATACAAGTTTGCGGCAACAAAACATTATTTTTAGTGTAAAATTAAAAAATATCTATTTGATAAATACTTACAACTGCTTCATAAGAAGGCGTCTCTTCAATTTTTTCACAAATATTCTCTCTCGATTGTCTTTGCAAAACCATATCGTCCAATCCATTTTCATATTTACCATCTTTACCTCTTCTTACCCATGGAAACCTTCTGCTGAAAGTCATTGATTTCTTTTTTCTATCTAATGTGGACAAACGGTCTAGGCTTTTGCTCTCGTTCCCTCTGAACTTAACAGACCGGTCTCTAGCCTTTTGCTTGCGCTCCCAACGCCGTTTAGATGGAATAATGCCGATGCCTTCTTCTCGGCCAGTAGCTAGAACTTTACGTGCCTGCCACCATTCATCATCGCTTGCATTAGTAACGTGTAATATTGTACCATATTTGAATGGCAATCCGATACTTGGAAGACCATCATCTATCGAGGGATCATAGTCAAACAGAGCTCGAACATAGAGCGTTTTCTTTTGAGTAGTACGCATTAATGTACCAGTCGAAGCTGCTAGTTGAGATTTTAGTTCGTGTATTTTGGCTTCAAATCTAAAAGATAATAATATTAAAAAATTGATGAAAAATTGAATAGATAGTGTGTTTAAATATTACCTATTATAATCCTTAGGTCGATGTTGAACAGTTAGTACAACAGTTTGTCCAGCAGTCTTAAGGGCATCTGCTGCTTCCTCATGAGTCGCATTTATTAAATCGACATCATTGACTTTTAGTATGGTGTCGCCTCGTTTAAGCTGCCCTGTTTGATCAGCTGGTCCACCAGCCAATATTAACGATATAAATATACCTTCACCGTCTTCACCGCCAACAATGTTGAATCCTAAGCCACCAGAACCTTTATGTAATACCACTACTCTTTCATCGTGGTTTTGCATGTTCTCGTAACTTTTAACAGTATTTAGTGTGTCAGTTGAGTAAGAGTTTGGAATCGTTTCAGTCATGGGAAAAGAACTGGAATCGGTATACGTTATGGGTTCAGCTTTGCCAACGACCAACAAAACTTTTTCTCTAGTATTTTTTAATGTACGGACAGCTTCTTCGTGTGTTACATTTTCTAATATACGATCACTGAGTAGAGTATTTTTGACCGCTATCAGTTTATCACCAACCATTAGTCTACCATCTACTTGAGCTGCACCACCACTCATGATTTGAGTAACATATATTCCATTGTCACCGGGAATGTGTTGATTTCCTATGCCACCAGCAATACTAAATCCTAATCCCTGAAAAATAAATATTAATAATATACTTTGTTCTATAGTTAGATTTTTTCAGAACAAGAATATTTCGCAATTAATGAACAAAAAAAAAAAAGATTGTTATCTAAAAGTAAAAACATTAATATATATATTTAAATCGCATAACTAGTTAATAAAAGATGTGATTGGAATAATAAATGCTGATAACGTAATAAAACATAACAACTTTTTTTTTAAAGTTTAATTGCGATATAAACAGCAGAAAATTATTATTACTAATGCAGGTCAAAGATCAAGATCAGATTAGCCAACACATCTATTTTTTAACTGATATTGTTCAAGTTAATTAGGAAGTTAGTAATAAAACTACTAATTAATAATGAACAATTTTCATTAAAAATATGCTATATCACCTTGGTTAAATAACCTAATTGGGTTGTGAAGTACAAAAACAAATTAATAATAAAAGTTGAATTATAATGGTTATAGTTGCTATGGCAACAGCGAATTGTTTGTGATTTCAAATTTAAGTTGATAGTACAAAGGAATCGAACCCGACAAATGTCATGTATCCTTTGTAAAATATCAAATCAATAATTTCTAGAACAATTTATCATGTAACATTGTTATTATTTTCTTTTCTAAATCTTTAATATGTAAATATACCAAGGGTTTATGGAAGTACAAAAATAGATAACTAATTTGTTATTTGACTGTTGATTTATTCTTCAAATATTATAGGGAATCTGTTGGGTATTGGTAGTTAACATATTTTTATACAATTACTTCACTAACAAACTTGTATAAAACTTGGATATTTTTATAATTGTCAAATATTACTCCAAGGTTTACTATAATTATTGAAATATTATATACATACATATAATATATGTATATATGATTATTGAATAATTGAAAAAGTACCTTTGTCCCTTTGCTGAGCTCTATTTCCATTATATTTGGACCAGATGGAAAAATCATTTTTTTGCGTTTCACACATAACGTTACAGTATGTCCAGCTCTTTTTAACGCATTTACAGCGGTCGAATGGGGGACGCCAACTACAGGAGTATCATTTACTTTGGTAATGATGTCGTTTACACATAATCGGCCGTCCCTATACGCTGTACCGCCGGGAATAATTTTTGTAATAAATATCGAAGTGTCATCATCCGTCTGCGGATTGTCTGTACCTCCTGTATAGCCGACAACAAAGCAACATTACACACCGATAGCAACAATATTACAAGAACAACGGAAACTACGTACCCGCTATACTAAACCCAAGACCCGAGTCGCCCCTCTCCAAGGTGATCTCGTCGACGATCCACTCGGGTTTCGTGTTGCCGTTCATCTGTGCGTCTAGGCTGAACAGCGACGACACTTTTTTTATCATACCATTAGAGTTGCTGGGCGATTTTTTTTTTGTCGACGCCGTCCGGTTCAGCTCTTTCATGTCGGCCACCACATAAGTCGCCAAGGGTGTTTTGTACACCGATTCGGCCAGACGCCCGTCAACTATTTTCGGATCGGTTTTACGACGACAACGGTCACCGCCTACTATACAGACGTCGACGGCTGTGCAGTAATGTTGTCATACGACTACCTATTTGGCGGCGCTGGGCTGACGGTGGACGCAGTTGGTCGTGGCGGTGGCCGAGGCGATGGACGTGCCGCAGTTCATCAACGCGTATAGCCAGTGTTCGAGATCGGGCGGCCGCTCGATATTCCTCAACAACGGGAATGTGTTTTTAATTGTCACCAAAAATTATATGTTTTATTTACGTACACACAAACACGAATTCCACAACCGTAGGAAAACAATTGGTGTCCCAGGGGTTCCTAAAACGGTGTAAATTTGCGCCCGAACGGTACACCCGTCGCCGTGTTCGTTTGACGGAAATCGCATTTAGAACAGATGCACGGACGGAGACGCCGTTGAAATTTCAACGGCGAACGGCTGCTGACGAAAATAAACTGCCGCAATTTTTTTTCACACCCACGTACCGAACGGCTTCAACGAAATGTACCTATTTTTAATAACATATTATTACATATTATACTATCATACGATCTGAACATCGTAACAATTTGTTTTCGAGTATTTACCATCATTCCGAAGTCCGAATGGCTGCCTGAAGTTAGCAACGGAACGTTATCGCGGAGCATTATCAACACCGAATTCATCGAGATGCTGCTCCACGGTATCCGGTGAGCTGTACGACTGACTTTTATAGTTAATTATTGTAATTTTTGTGAAATATACCTTCTTAAACTACTTATAATAGTTTGTGTTTCAAATTAACTTCAAGACAGGAGGAAACTTGGTGTAAAGTTCTCGATGCCGAGCTACGAGTTGTGCATGCTTTTCAAAGCATTGCCAAGGGTAATTGAAAATATGCATTTTTAGTTTTAAAAAAAATATCATTGGTATTATTACCATAATAATTATTAATACTTATGTTATATAATATGTACTTTTACATGAATATTAGTTTTTATTAAGTAATAATTGTAAAACAATAATATGTATTCCTGTTTTCTTTATAAAAATTGCTGTACGCAGACTTAGTAAAATTGTGCGATGCATAATATATTTTTAGTTATGATATTCAATTGAAAGAAATATTGTCACATGAAACATGTTTTAATAGTTGGTGACCAAAGTTCAATTTCTACTTTGATTATTAATTTATTATGCTACAATTATTATGCATAGCTTCAATATTTTAAGAGCAGCACAATGAGCTGCCAAAACATTTGGTCTAAAGTACAAACAACATGACAGAACTCATTTTACAATAAATGTCATATATTAACATGGAGGGTTTCACTTTAAATTGGTGGTTTTTTAATCTGAATAATGGAAGCTTAATGACGACATCGTGTTTTGCACATTTAGGTCACAGGATTAAATAATGTTTCAGTAAAACTGTTCTGGCTAGTATGTCATTTCCATAGCATATAATGTGTTAACTAATCGTGTTAGTTAATTCAATTAGTTCCATTTTATTCAATTTTCTGAAACATTTAGTCAGGCAACACTGCCTGAAGCCATAATAGTTTCAGTATGTCAGGTTCAAATAATTATTGGTTTTCAATTTGCATGCCAGTTGTATATATATTTGTCAGACTTAATAGGCATATAACCAAAGATGAGCAGTATTTGAATTACTAATTTTTTTACTTGGCTCTATTGTGTTCATGGGTTTATGTGTAGCGACCAACTGAATATTACAAAAGATATTTTACCAAACTAGATTTTAACACATTAGGCTCAAAGTAACTATAATAAAATTAACTGCAATGACCTTAAATTTAACATAAGTATTTTATTTTTGACAAAATATGTTGTTGAAAATGTTGTGTAGCACACTTGATTTATGCATTTTCATTTCATAGTTATAAATTAGCATTTCTGACAGTATTGTCTGAAAAACAATGTTAAATATTTTTAAAAATATCATTAGAAAATATTATTTTTTAAGTGTTTTATAATATATTATACTTATTTTATATGTATTTTAAAATTTTGTTTGTTTTTAGACCGAAATAGTAGGATGTTTGAAACGTACGGCTAGTAAAATTTTCGAGGCTGGCGGTTTTATTCGACGCATTGACAACTTAGGTACAGCAGATACGCCGTGGAGAATTAGTTCGCACGAAGCGATACACAAAGAAGCTAACTACTTTATCCTCGAGTTTGATGTACCTACACAAGCTCTGAAACCGCTTAATAATTACTTGACTAGAGACATTGATATCATAAAGCGAACAATATTCCGAGTGCCTGGCAACGATCCTCAACCGGCTTGCACTCTCCACGAAGAGCTCAAACCCCCAGCATATAGGTAAGTTCAGTCAAGTGACAATTAACTTGTAAATTTTAAATTCACGTGTTTAAATCCAGGTCTGAGGTGAAAGAAATGATTGCTATCGGTAGGCGAAAACGCGAAAGAGAAGCTAAGAAAAAAGTGCAATTCAATACCAGCATAGATTTTATGCCTTTCCAAAGATGAATGGGCTTAATCGATGAATATATTATAATGTAAATAATAATGTTAACTTAGTAATATGTTAGTTATTGTGTAACGTCATGTAAGTGAAATAAAAATAAAACATTTTGTGAGTACTTAAAGTTTATTTTTTAAACAGCCAAAAAAAAACATAGAAAGATTTATCTAAAATTTAACAAAGAATAAATTATAAATTTTCTTTTCAAAATACTTAGAACATAAAAATCAAATATTTAACAGGAATTATAGAAACATAACTTTAAAATACAGTGTTTGCAATAATTAAAATACTAGGTCAAATAATTTTATTTTAAAGGCTTTAAAATCGTTTTATCTATAGATCAAATATGTATAGTCTTCTACTTATAAAGTAATACTAATAATATTAATAAAAATGTTAGTCGAGGTACCTATCCATGTATAATTTAAATTTCAAAAGGACCTAGTCCTTTAACAATCACTTCACTAGTTTACAGGATACAAACTGAGCATATATTTTATCTTGTATATGGATTTATTAAATGATTGACTATTTGATTACAGGAATTGTCATTTAAAATTAATTAGTCTGAAAACTTCTTGGCGATCGTCAGTTTTTCTAATCTTTAAACAACGTGTTTTAATAAATATATTATTGCGTCAATGAAGTCAAACACAGTCTAATCGTTAGGAATGTTTTGTTTCAAATGTGATCAATCTTACATAGCGAGTGGGTTCATTTTTTTTTTTTGTTACCTTAACTTATGTTGTCTAACTAGTTTACAATTGTATAATGACTAGAAAAAAAATATGGTTAACAATATGTATACCATGTTATTTAGACTTAACAAATAATTATACATTTATTGCGTTCACTTAAAAATTAGTATTACACAATCAAAAATATTAACAACTAGTAAGAAGAATGATTGAATGTTTAATCACAATTAGGTTGCAATGTGGTGAACGAAGAAAGATTTGTCTAGGGCGTGTTCAGCGAGAAAACCATAATAACCATCGGCTCATCATATGTAATCTGTAACAAAACAGTTATTATTATTACTAATGTTATGGTCACCACTCCTATTGGTATTTATCAAATAGAATGCATGTTGAGTTGATCTTGAATAGACCATTTAATTATCAAGTGATGTATTATTATTATTATTGCATTTATGACGTTCTCTTAACAAAGTATAATATACTGACCATCGCTGGCATGACTCTCGTCGTCAGCTGAATGTTGTCGACTCGATCTTGAGTTTTGTTTCGACAAGAACTGAAACAAATTATAAATCATCTTTACTGAAGATACGGTAATAATTACTAAACCCCATTGATATTTACCACATTCTGGCGACTGGTCGACTTGGAAGGCGATCGCTTATTGTTCCACTCGGCTATGAGTTGATCGAAGTGTTGCGATTGCGCCAGAGCCGCCTGTTCCGGTCCCAAGTTCTGTAACACACACAATGCATAATGCAAGTTTTGTTAAACAAAATATGTAGGTATATTTCCGTTGTTCCTGACTCCCGGCGTACCTGTGAACCCATATTGTCGCTGTTGTTTGCTTGTTTCGATATTTCCTCCATGCTGGCCGACACGGAGAACCGTCTTAATTTTTCGTCAACTGCCGCTCGTGTTATCGAAGAAGTCAAATGGGCGTATTTTCTCTGCCACGTGTACGAGTCCAACGAGTACTCTTTGATCAGCATCCTCCTCATGGGTTTCTTGGCAGCCAGAGATCTGGGCTCTGCGGAACGACATAAGTGCATTAGTGGCATTTTGATGGCGCAACGTTGTTCAATTCGAATTCCGAATGGACTACTAACCTCGATTGATGAACACCGGCACTTTGACGTACTGCGCCGGTGTGTTCATCAGCTGTGTGATGGGTAAATACTGACTCTCGTAGAGGTGGACCACGACTCGAGTGACGTCCGTGGACATGGATAAACCCAGAATGGGCAAGTGCAGTTGAAGGGAAGTCAGGGCAACGCCTCGTTTCGTGTCCCACACTATTATGCGCTTGTCGTCCGAACCCGACAGGGCCACCGACCCGTCGCCGCTGAGCTTAACGCAAGTCACGTGCCCCAAATGCCCGGTCAACAGGTGTCTGTCGTCTCCCGTGTGGATGTCCCATATTATTAGGTTCGCGTCCCAGGATCCAGAGACTACGATTGACTTGTCGCTAATGGCTACGGCCACGCACGTCACTTGGTCTTCGTGTCCCACCAGCACCTGTGTGTATAAAATTAATGAATCATCGTTGAACATTTTCATAGGACGGACAAGAAGACAATGAAATTAACGGGAACGAGAACGTTAAGATTGATGGGTGGAGCTAATGAATTGGATACAATTTGAAGTGATTGCGCCTAAGGAATTTATGGTTTGACATAAAGATGGAAGTGTTAAAAGTATAGACTTCGCGTGCGTGAGCTGAGACAAGGAAGAAAAATGTAGATATATTAATATGTGACAAGGTTCTTGCACGCTGACGTACTTGTGACAATTTACCGCCGTTGATTTGCCATACTTTCAAAGACATGTCTTTAGAACCGGTGATTATTTGTAATGAGTCATAAGTTATAACAAAACAAGTGATTTCTTCAGTATGACTGACTGGCCATTTTTCCGTCCACGGTCCGCCTTCGTTTTTGACGGCTAGTGGCCAAATGTGCAATCTGCGGGCAACTAAGTGTGTTACAATACAATTCAACAACCAAATAACAAATGCATCGGTCTTACGAAAAGTGCCCGTCGCCGCTGACCAAGTATTTCATGTTGTTAGTCACCGATAAGTGTGTAGCCGGACAAATCACCGAGTTCAAAAGCGTGCCATTATCTGATAACCAAACGGCTATAACGCCGGCTTTGTCGCTGGACACGACCTTCTCGCTGTCCGAAGTCACTTCCACTGCGGTAATGGCCGATTGATGTCCCTGTGGATTTCATTGATATTAATTAAAATAGACAAAATTCGATCAACAAATGTATCTCGTTTTAAGGACTTACGCTAAACGTGAATACAGCACTGCCCACGGTTAGACCCCAGACCAACACGAGTTTGTCTTCCGAACCCGACACGGCGAACAGTCCGTTGGACGCAATTGCCAGGCAAGTGATAGCGGCGCTATGGCCGTGCATAGTCGAATGCAGTTCATTGTTGTTTAGTTGATAAACGTTTTCCAGACTTTCCACGTTTAGATGCCAGACGTTTACCAAACTGTCCAGACCGCCTTTGCCGGAACAATAATTTGCATTAGGTATACGAAATAAGGTTTAAAACGATTAATTCCGCATTGCAAACTATTATTACCTGTCACGGCCATAGTTCCATCCCTCGAAATGTCTAAGCACGTTATGGCCATGGTATGCGGTTTCCTCGATAACGACGACGGATGTTTGTTGACCGTTTGCGCGTTTCCCATTTTTCTGAAATTCCAGTAAGCGATTTTTCCATTGCCTATGCAGAAAACAGAGGGTTAAAAAACCTACTCGTTGCAAAAATCCCACATCGTTTTTTGTTACCTGCAGTCACCAGAAAATCATCGTTGTTGGTGATCTTTACGGCGATGACTTCATTGTGATGCGGAGAAGTCGATATGGGAACAAGGTCTAAATCACCCGAATGTATGTCGTATATGTACACTCTCGAGTCAAATCCAGTCACTACCGCTCTTTGACAGTCTTCTGCTAATGCAATAGACATTACTTTCGAGCAATACCCTTTTAGTGTATGGATGAGTGTTCCCGTGGCAAGAGCGTGTAGCAAAAGTTGATTTCCTTCGCAGAGTACCAAGAGGAACATGGAGTCTATAGATATGTCCAACATTTGTACGGGGCCCGGTAAAGTTATGGTGTTCAGCAAATCGAGGGTGTCCATTTCCCAGAGACACACGGTGCAGTCTGAAGAACCTGTGAAAAGAGTACAGAAAAAGTATAGCTTTCAACGCGGGTGACCCTTGCTGTATATTACTATAAAACGTTTGACGAACCTGTCACTAATACATCTTGTGACGTCAGATGTACCGCCGTAATGGCTCCTTTGTGATAGTCTATCTTTTTTATCATTTTACCTTTTAACGTGAATAATAATATTTTACTGTTCTCGCAACCGAGAACTACACCGAGCTCTTTATTGCCACCGTCGTTGATTGTCGCCACGCATAGACTCAATACAAGTGATTCGAGCTCGCTAAAAATTTGGTCGGTGATTAAAAACATAATATATAATACTTTATGATTATGTTGTCGTCCAATAAAAAATAAACTCACGTATATTTTGCTACCAAAGCAAACGTATTTAAGTCCCAAACCATTACGCTGAGATCTTCGGATCCTGTAACTAGTAGCTGTGGACTTCTATTGATATTCAAGCATTTGATTGGTTTTTGATGGCCTTGGAAAGTATTTACCCTTGTGTTACCCATAGTGTGCCATAGTTGAGCATCGCCTTCCTTGGGTATAACAACCACATGTTGAGCAGAAGGCGTTGGAGCAATATAACGTATTGGTATACCACAGTTAACACCTATGTCGGTAATGATTTCAATTTATCAACGTACAGTTGGCAGTTTGTCAAGGAAATATTAGTATTTACATTTGATGTGGAGAGGTAAGGGCGGTTGTAGCCAACTCGTATGTGGCACCAGCAAAGGATCTGTAAATCCATCGCACCACGATACCGAACATCGAATTATCCTGTGCATCAGTTTGCTGCTGTCTATAAAATATTACATAAAACAGGTCAAACTGCTTTCGTTTGTTGAATTGCATCGCGCAATACGTACCGGCGACTGGTCTCAGCCAACTTATAATTTGTGCCCCGAGTTGTAAAGTGTCTCTTGTAAGTACATCGCTCGACTTTCTCACGGTGTAGTAAACTAATTCTACATCTCTGTCCAAAACATAACAACGAGCGTGTTCTATTATTGACCGGAGATAGCTGACCGAAATGGTTCGGACTGCGGCCAATAAGAAATCGAAATTGCAAAGAGTCAACTCTTTCAATCGCATGTTGTCACCTTGAATAATGATTAAATTGTAACGGTTTAGTTTCTAAAACGAAACTCCATGTTAATAATACTCACCAGCCTTGAGAAGATGAATCCACGATTCTTCAACGTGTCTTAAACTGTAGGTCATATCGTTATGAACAATCGTTTCGCCATCTTTACTGACTGCTGTTAAGAGATAAATGTTGTTAGTGTATAATGCTTTTATTCGAACATTGTTTCACAGTACTTACAGTTTTCGGTTTTGGCATCAGACTCGTCCTTGGCGAACTCGCTGAAGAACAAGTTTGCTATGTCCGTGTGCAGCGATTTTTGATGTTCCTTCGATGTCAGATACCGTCGCCTAACCACATCAAATGTTATTTTGTGTCTCCAACATAGCAATACACGCCCACTCATGAATTTCGTGTATAGAAGAGGCACTTTTACAGAAAGTAAATTTTATAACTATTAATAACTAGATTAAAAAAAAAAATGTTGATGGTGATAGAACAATTTCTTACTTATTATTTTTTTTGCGGTGCAAAATGTAGAAAAGTTAAAGTTACCATCCTCTAGCTTAATGGGTGACCTAAAATCACCAGTCGTCGGCATGAGTAGTTCAAGAAGTTCGGTTTCGGTCAAACCAAATTCAGATATAGATATGTACGAAGCTAATCTAGTAACGGCTTTAATGCCAAACACGTTCTCATAACTATCCAACATACTGTTGATTTTAATTTTGATTGTCTCTGAAAAACATATCACAGTAAAGTAGTAATAGAGATAACAAGTTAAAATTTAACTTTAATTGATTTAACTAATCTACCACAAAAATATTCACCCTTATTTAAAAATATATGTTCTAAACGAATGGCAAATATATGATATTATAGTAATTTTATAAAAAATAAGATTTAAAAATACTTCAGTCTACTGTAATAATGTTAAATTTTTAAAAATAACTTTGATTGTTATAACAGCTTGATACTTTTAAAACTATATTCATTTTATTCATTATTCAAAATTATATTACATGCTGGTATAAAAAAATTATTTGTACAGATAAAAAGTAATATTAGTATCCGTTACTATATAAATACAGGCTTTGTTTAAGTAGTCAATTATTACTTTTGTTGGTCAATTATTATAATTGTCAGATTATTTTTTTGTGATATTTCTATTAAAACAATTTCATTAAAAATGTCGAACAGTGTAAGTGGTACATTTAACCTGCAATTTGAAAACCAACTCATTCAAGTCTCGCCGGATGACCCTGGCAGTCCACTGTGGGACATCACAGAAAAAGTCATCAACAATTATTTGAGAGATGGGTGTTATAAGGTTAGTCTTCTTGATGATCAGAAACCATATTTTGCCAACAGCACCGTCTAATGGAAGTTATGGGCTGTTATAGATTTATTTCATATTGTTAACTAATTTCTATCGGTAATACAATTTGTAATAAGTTTGTTATTGCAGAGATGCGCTCAGATGTTAATGGAAAACGCCGGTATTTGGCAAAAATTTGGCGACGACGCTTTTGTCGTTGTCATTGTTATGATTGCATTTTGTCGTGGCAAGTACATCCGTACACAAGTTGGTACACTGTTGGGTGAATTGGTCGAGGCCAAAGTTCTGGACAAATCAACCGTAGTCAGAGGGTATTATGACGTTTGAACACTTAATGTGTGTCAGTAAAATCACGAATTTATTGTTACACATCAATTTTTATATAGGGCTTATAAAACGTTAGGAAACGTAAAAGCCGAAAAAATGTTCCCGGACGCTGACGAATTTGTCGAAGAGATAAAGTCTGCATTTAAAGCCGTTCGTCAAGTTCATCAAGTTCGTTTTGCAAAACGTAATGACGTGCATTACTATTACAAGTACGCTGTTAACTCTTTTATGACGTCATCTATATTAACTTATTAATTGCACGGTGAATATCCGATGCTGATAAACCATTTAGTCTAGTGTCTGCTGTTAAGTTTCTCTGAGATATGTTTTGATTTTTTTTTAAAGTTGAAAATTACCTCTCCGCTTCACAAGAGGTCACGGGGATAACGTTAAAAGAACTGTCAGCAGTAATCTTATAATATTCATGTAAATTGTTGAAAAACAAAATATGTAAAAAATACATTATTATTATTATGTAAAATGTCATATTGTCATGTACAAATATATTACCTATTGTGTAAAATGTATATTGTGTGTACTTATTTATAATATTTGTAAATGAAATAGAATATATTATTATATGTATTTGTAATTATATTTTTTTCTTTTTCTGTAACCATTAATTTTTAACAAGACTGTAAACATTTAAAATGGACCAATGCCTGTCTGCCACCTTTCTCGGCTAGGTTTGTGTTTATTTTACAACAAAATTATCGTACATAATTTTTGTATAATTACATTGTTGTATCTTTAGTATTTACTAATGAAGAACGGACATTGGTCATTACAATAATCTAGGACTGATATAAGTTACCATTAACTGGAGACGAAGCGGTCCGATTTACTGTTATCACTTATCACTTATCCATAAAAATAACTAATAATATATTAGCAATAAGAATATTTAAATATTTCATATAATGGCGTACCGAAAAAAAAAAGTGGAGATAGGTATCTAATTATTTAATGTTATTACACATTTTGAGTAATAACACAATGTGTACTTCATGTATACAACCAAACCGACCAACAGCCTCTTTGCTCCCACTAATGTGATAGTTCATTTTAAAAAAAAATGTATATTAAATATAAAAATAAAATAAAAATGTCTTAAACGCAAGTACATATTAAAACGAAAGGTAAGAACGCCTATATATATATATATATATATATATTACCACAATTTTCCCAGTTAATAGTATAAACCAACAACAAATTATATGTTTGTACTTTGATATAATCAAGCACGGACTTACCAATGTTTGAGTCTGGCTGAACAACGTAAAATTCCGAATTTTTAAATCGTTCTTTTTGTAGCGGAGTCATTTTTAATTCGTCGGGGACGTAAAGAGTTGTGCATACAATGTGAACGTTGAACGGCAGTACTGTTGGCAGCCAAGACAACCCGGCTACGATATCCGAATCCAACGGGTTTAGTCGATGCAGGTCGTCGATAAACAATATTAACACTTGAGTTCTGCATTCTTCTTCAAAACGCCTCAGTAACGTCTGGAACCAGTCGCTGACGTACAAGGGATCGAACGAGGCGTCTAAAGGCACGCATAGCCCGTTCGGTTGCAGTATGCAAGTTAACTGTTCGCATATAATTCTTAACAGCTCTATGTTATATGATGCTCTCGGCGTCACCCCGGAAAACCTTACTATTCTCAATGGTTTTTTATCGAACCATTTTTCGCATTCCTGATAAATCGTAGTGACGATCGACGTTTTACCAGAACTCAAACCACCTTGTACAATAACAGGACCGTGCTTTGCGGTGGTGGACATCATTTTTCTTATTTTCCCTACGGTTTCCATATGAGGGTCCGGTGGATTCAGTTTAATCAGTTCCCTGCAGTGCGCTATGTGAACAATCGCTTCTTTCAACACTTCTTGGATGGTCTTGTTTCTTGCATTTAGCTCGGGCCTTAGCTCGATACTGGCGTTTATCATACTCTGCATCTTAGACATGATTGCTTCTTGAAATATAGTCAGATACATGTCGTGCTCTGGAAATTCCCCATCGACGCCTCCCGGTTTCCATTCCACGCTGCAATAATATAAAATAGAAAAATATTTATAATATAAAATAATAAGAACGAATACCAAGAAAAGTTTATATGATATTTTGTAATTTACCTTAGTTCTATAAGGTTATCTGACGGCACCGTGTTCTTTAAGAAATGTTTGAATGATGCTATTGTTTCATCTGGACAATACTCATGTTCTTGCCGTCCAGTGAACTCTCTATTGAACACCAGCATGTGGTCTTTGTCCAAATCTAAAAGCACGAAAATGTGTTTATAAATACATTAGATAGTTAAAATAAATTATGTATCTACCCAAAGCGTGTAACGTTTGATGTTGAACCGCAGAATGAAAAATTTGAGGGTCGACTATCAATCCTCCGCTTAGTAACTCTTGTGATGCTTCTTGTAAGACCATAAGAGCTTTTTCGTTGTTCTCAGACCAAACATAAACACTTTCTGGATCATTAAAATCCCTATAAAAAAAACGGCTTGTCTCTATTATTTATTTATTGTAATTTGGTAGATTTAAGTCACTATATTTTGAAAAAACATGACGGCTTTAATGTAAAGATAATAATAACATTGTTTTTTAATGAGAATAATTTGCGTTTTTTCTTAAGTACACACAATTGAAAAATGTAGAATAATTATAGAATACGTAGGGTTACCATATCCAAGTAGTTTTAAAAATTAATAATAAGAATTCAACAATTTTAAATGATAACTAATATTCTAAAACTTGGCACAGGCTATTTGTCAATTTTTTAATTTTTATTTTACATTAAGTATTTGTGCGTTCTCGTAAAATGCATAAAGTATACACATTATAATATGCAGTTTACTAAATATTTTTTGTCAATCCTAACCTAACTCAACTTTAATGGGTTTAGATTATTAACAAAATCATTTATCTATTTCCATTGTCAAGAGACCGAAAAACTAATGGGAGCCTAAATCTGTTGTCTAAAACGTAGTTCATCGGGGCAAGGATACCTGCTCAAATCCTATTCATTTTTCATATTTTACTAAGGGCTGCTGTCAAAACTCTATTACTGCGGTAACGCAAGTCATTTGGCCTGATGGGTATTATAGTGAGGAATAGGAGATACGCTTGGTTTGATTTATGTTTAACGCGACTATAGCTTTTGTCTTGCACCTCTGCTGTTAAATTTTCAATAATACAAAAAAGTTAAATCTTTCAGTTAAAAGTTGATCGTTTTGTTACAATAATATAATATAAAATATCTTTCAGGTACGATTTCTCGTCCGCTATCTTGTTACATTAAGACATCAGTCCAGCGGCTTAGGAGACGTCGCGAGTCCAGAGACAACAAATATAAAAACAAAATTACAATAATACAAAAGAAATAAAAAATACAAGCTAAAACTATTATAATACAAAAATTATACCAATGTATTTGTCTAGAAAATACCGCCTTAGCATCGAACGTATGGTTGTTCAATAAAATACATTTGAGGTTAAGTAAATTTGTTTCTTGCACCTACGTCAGTAAGTATATGAAATACACGTCGGTCCTAGCTGTTATTTTACTGTTAAATCGTTATTTCACTTTGGCGCAAATAGTCGTTCAACATTACACGTATTATTTAAAGAAATACTAAATATGCATTTCAAGAGCGCTGTTTTTTTTTGTGCGGTGTGTTTCTTAACGCCAGCATGGGTAAGAATATATACAGATACTTATTTATCTTAAATAATATTTACAAAATAAATATAAATGTACTATGTATGTAGATTATATCACGATGGATTGTTGACAGAATATTGCATATTATATATTATATGTAAATCTGCCACATCATCGCAATGCGCTGTACAAGTATAATAACTGATAAGTTTTGACTTCATTATACTTTATTTTAGAGCATCGGACTAATCACGGACCAGCTAACAGCAACTATTAAACTATTCGAATCTACTAACAAACTGTTCGAAGAAAAAATCACAAGAAATATTAATGCATTTTTGGGAATTGAAGCGAATGAAAAAGCGCCAAGTAACATATGGCTTAAAATATCTGCTAAGCAAAGCTAAAACACGGTTGTATTAATTATAATTGTACAGGAGAACCATTTTTGTAAAATGATTCTGACTTCCGACTACGTAACATTATGATAACTTGTGAAATAATCATTTGTTTCTAAAAATTATATTAAAGAAAATTTCAGCATGTACTTCAAATTGTCGATACATATGTAGGTTATTGTGTTTTAAATTTACTCAGTTGAATACATAAAACTATAAGCAATTAGTGGGACATTATAGCGTTAATATGTTTATGGTTTGTGAATTAATATATATTTCTAACTCAATAAATTATTATTTTTAACAACAAATTTAACCAATAGGTTTTTTTAAAATATAAACGTATATTTTAAACTATTAATAAAATGACAAGTACTTGATCGGTTTGAAATATTTATGTTGATCATATTTTATTTAATTGAATGTAATTTTAATTTTGAATTATTAATCAAAAACTTGTCAAGCTTTGGTGAAAAAATATTATGGCGTTTTATTAAAAATGAACAGCATTAAAACTAATTGCAAATACTAAATAATTTATATAGATGTGCCCGAGTCTAAAATTTTAAAGGAGATATTGTCGGCACTAGCGTATGATGGCAATAAAATATCCGAATACTTCAAGGTAAACGAGCTGAAACAACTAAATAACACTCTTTATGTAAATTAATTAATAAGCTATAAGTCATTGTACTTTATTTTAGAGCATTGGGATACACGATAAAAAAAATATCGCAATTACTAAACTATACAATGACTACAAAATATCTACTAACGCAATTTTTGTGAAGGAAATCCCAAAAGTTATTAAACAATTTTATGAAATCGAAGAACCTGTTTTTAAATACGACCCAAGTAATTAATTGTACTGTTTTGTTAAAACTAAACGACATTAAACTTATTGCAAATACTGAACAATTTATATAGATTTGCCCGAGTCTTCAAATTTAAAGGAGTTATTGTTAGCTATAGCGTATAGCGAAGATAAGTTAAGATCCGACTTCTTAGAGGTCTTAGAGGTATTCGGTTTATAATTGTGAAAATTGTAAATTAATAATTAGTTTTGTGAATGTGTTGTACTTAGGATCTAAAGCTTATGCCTTTGGAAGTCGATTTTTTCCTCCACGAGTTCACCGGAATCACCAAAAAATTTAAACAAGAAGAATATCTTACTATTGAACAGCTGTCAGATGTATTAAAATCATTGAAATTTAACGAAGAAATAATCGAAAATATTAAAAATGAAAATGGCGGTAACATATTTAAGTCGTGGAGGTGGTTTATATAATTTTAATAATTAAAAATGTTTATTCAACTTTAGATTGTGTAATAAACGGAGCGAGATACTTGTTGATCATGTTGGATAATCAACCCGATGTAAGCAAATATTTTCTCTAATAACAAAGAAAATAATATAATCTCTAGAGAAAATAATGAGAAATCTTACAGCAGAATGAATGTAGTCATTGTGCATTGACTAGGAATAGCCAACGTTTTATTGAATATTTTCAATTTTGGTTTTTAATTACATTTTAAGCGAATATTCATAATTTGTAATACACGCCTACAGTTGTTAAGATTTCAAAATAATTTTTTTTTATAAAAAACCCGAATTTTCATAATAATGTTTACAAATTATGCCTTATGCGTCTACGTTTTTAATACAAATGTTTTTTTTTGTAAAATGCGTCGACTTTTATGTATAGCTTTTTTTATTTGTATGCTTTGTTCTTACATTATAGGACAATGGTCTAAGCCTAACGCAAATAGAAGATTTCGCTAATTTGTATAAAGACCAAACAATTAATACCGGGTGCTTTGATCCTTTGAAAATTAAAAATATCTTCAAAGAGTTTAGTATCGCCACATTGGAACAGGAATCGATAACGCTATTTAAACCCAACCGTAAGAATAAAATAACGATATATTTTGCACTTTCAATACATCCTATAATAATATTATATACTTAATTAAAAAACTATTATGGAAACCTGCACAGGACCCGCTGCTATAGAATTGATGGACTTGATGATCGTCACAGCAGACCGTAGTATAAATAACGACAACATGGTAATATCATTATTTTTTTTTAATCTATTTTTTGTTTCTTTGCTGTTATACATTTCTTCATCTAGTAGTTAATTGTTTGACGCGTTGAGCGATATTTTACTATGACAATTATTTAGGAAGAAAAAGTGTTGTGTTCGGAGGAAATCAGATTTTTCATAGAAATATTCATCTACCTTGACAAGGACAAAAACGGTTTAATAGATAACCAAGAGTATTCTATTTATCAGAAACACTTAGATCATGATCATGAAATGTCGACAATGAACGATTTCCTTCACGAAAATCCGGAAAAAGTTTCAGTGAAATATAAATTTGACAGTAATTTCTCCAATTGTTCATTTAACGAGTTAACTATGACTGTTGACAATCGCCTACAAAAATGTGATTTTTCTTTTTAGATGAAAATGAAATAAACATTGCGGAATTTCTGAAAATGATAACGTTTTATATGAAAATTGTCGATAAGAAAGTTGAAGATTCACTCCGTGAATAGTTTTAAAATATATTGTGATGATTACTTAATAAGTATAGTAACAATACTCATTTGATCTGTGCGTGTTCAATAATCACAATAATAAAAATAATGATTTAAATATTTATATTTATTTATTAATTATAATACTCAAAATATTGTTTTTTAATGTCTAATATATAAAAAAAATACTATAGTATTTTCTTTTTGTCATGGTATAGCAAGTAACTTTACTAATAATAAACACATATAAACTTTACTAATGAACGTAAAATTGAAACAATTAGGCGATTAAATTGACGACATTTATATACAATCAATAAAGATTTTTACATCTACTATCTTCATCATCGGTCGGGTAATACAAAGCATGGTAGTTTATGGATATTTAAAAAAAAAACAATTTTTTATATAAATGTTTTTTTTTAATTTGGTCTTTGCTGGAAATAAAAAGAAAGCGTGTGGTAATTTCTCAGGCTTCTTCTAAGCAGATTTTGTTAATTATTTTAATGATGGGTTATGGAAACAGTTAATAGGTAAAACAATTTTTTTTATTGATGGTTTATTATTTGTTGTTTACTGTCTGTTACTTTTCCCGGAAATTTGATTCCTTCCCTTAGCATCTTACAAACTCATACTGGAGGAAAAGGAGATCAAACTGATTTTATTTCTCTTCAAAATTTACAGATTATTTTCGAAATATTCAACGTGTCCCATTTAATAGTTATCGTTTTTTATAGTAAAAAATGTTATTAGATGGCCCTTAATTTTTTTTTTATATAAAGTTTTAAAATATGTTATAGGTGAATAAACAATAAAAACGTATATTTATTTTATCACTGAAATATTACTTTAATGTTACGATTATACAGTTTTTCTGCCAAACATATTTTTATTAAACTGATAAAACCTGATACTTATTGTACCTATAAAGTTTGAATTAATTTTTTAAAACCAAATATATTGATTATTCGTACCTAAACAAAGGTTTATTTCCTTATTTTTATGTAAAAATAATACAAAACTTTTGGATTTAGTTGGCGATTATTTTAATGAAACAAAAATACATTTACCTAATTGGTGCTCAATCTCCCACATGTCCGCAAAGTAGAATGCGATAAAATCAAAAGTATCGATATTTAGTTTTAATTTTTTAATATAACTTTTACTCGGTGGAAATTGCGCTTACAAAAAATTATGTGGAGTGAAAAGCTTTTAATGGGAGATGATATGATATTAAATTACTATTGTCGAGTATAAGTTAAGTGCTGAAACATGGCCGTATCCTCTTTCTGGCAGACTTAGGGGTCTTATAATGATGACCTTTCACAATGTTGGAGTTGGCTTTCGTCCCGTCTATATTATTATTACCTCGTCGAGAACGGGATGGCGGTTGAAAGCTGAATAATTTATGGTACTTACGGTTTTAGCAGGGCGTAGTGGTTGTTGGAAACATCTAACTGGTAAGCACTCTCCACTGCAGACCACTCCAAGTTCAGCTCTTGCGCGACGTCTTTCAGCTGTTCATACGCATCCTCGGTCATTTTTATCGGTACGGGACAGGCTTGATGCTCGTCTCCCACCAGGCACTGTTGACAATATTTTAAAATACAAATCACATTTATTTGTCACGTCATATAGGATTGCAACGATGGAGTATGGTTCATTTGAAATATGGGCGAACTATAAGTATTAGTTTTGGAAATATAATCCATTCTAAAGAATTAAAAAAAAAAAACTACATGATAAAGATCTAATATAAATCGAATCAAGTTGAACTAATGTCTCGCTCGACGCCTCCTTTCATGACTGACCGTCATCCTGTTTACTATGCATTTGTTGACACCGAATTTGTTTAATCGTTAAACACTTAGGTATAACACTGGTTTAGTAGAGTCTATAATCGTTTTTAAATCTAGACGGCGTGGCGTACATGTTTTATAAATCATGCATTTTTAAAATTTAAAAATAATTATTAAAATTGCAGGAAAGACCTTTAAAAGTTTACAACGGTACGTATCGTTCTATGTACATTTTAATCAACTTGCAGTGTTCTCTAGAATGGACTTTTTGGTAGGTATCCGTTGTTATACTACCAAAAAAAAAATTTTAATCATCACTATATCTGGATATTGTGGATTGGCAACACCAATACAATACTGTTAAATTGGCATAACTAGATCTCGGAGAGACGGTAGTCATTTAATAAGTCGAAAATGTAGTTTTTCTAAGGTAAACTGCACTCCGGTAAACATAAAATTGTATTGTATTTGTTTGCGGCGGACAGCAAACTTGTTTGTATATAACATAATAATTGTGATTTATCGTTGGATAGTATAATTTCGCGGTAAAACTAGTTGGATTATATGTCAAAAAAAGTATAATGCATGTATAGTGAAAATAAAATACGTCTCGGTCGATCGATTTTGTCGAGTGGTTTGGTTTCTTTAATATTATAATAGTGTAATAGTTTAAAAGGGTTTTGACAACTTTATGTTGACACTTCATGACGGGTCGACATCCCACAGTAGGCTTCCTAAGTGGGTACAATATTATGTATATTGCACGTACCAGAAAAAAACATCCTCGAGATACGGATTGGGAGTTCTTTATTTCTTCTAAATGTTCTGCAAACAGGAATGGGTTTTTCATTGGGTCTTGATCGCTGCCATAGTTCATGTCGACGAATTCGACCTGAAACAAAAAAATCATTTGTTTTTCAATTTTCCTATACATTAAATTAATTTTTAACATATATTAAACCCTTAGTAAATACAATTTAAAATGTAAACAATCGAGTATTTTTTATTCGATTCAATTAAACTCCCATGAGCATATATTTTCATTTTATTTTTAGTTCTTTGGTTATTTTTTCTTTTTACTGAAATATTATAATAATTGTAAACTGTTGTCTTTTGTCGTAAGACTCTGTATCCTTAACTGTACGTTGATTGAGCGATTAAAATACCTTTTTTGTACTTATTAAATTAACTAAATTGAAATGTATGCGGTCGCATGCAGATTATTATATCAAAAACTCCTCAAGTAAACTAACAACGATAATTTTAATAAAATTAGTTAGGTCAAGTTATTTACATGGATATGTTGTTATGTTGGTATGTTTTTGTGCTGTTTTTTTTTTATCTAATGACATTACATACAACAAACGTGACAAATTCATCTGCAATTTGGTGTATAATTTTTTTTTTTTTAGATACTAACTAATCCCCGTTTTGCGTCTCATTCTTAAATGCAATAGTATAAAAGCAAAAAAACAAAATTTTTTGTTTTTTTAGTTTGGCTTCTCCCCGAGTAATTCGACTATGATTGTTTTATACTTTCTAAATCTTCCATGTTTACTAAAATTTCACAAGTAAATTGAGATGAGTTTTTTTTTGTTTTCAACCATTTCTGCTATATATTTCATTTTGTTTCATCAGCGGCCAGTTTTTTTGTATTAACGTGATTTTGTCATACAACAAAAAGTTTAAGCGTGTGTACGTTTGTGTTTTGTAGTCCCTCCAGTCTCATACATCATTCATGTTTTCCCCAGAGTCCGGCTTTTTATGTTTTTACATCCCGACCCTATATCAGTTCCGGCCTTAACATAAATACATAATTCCGCTCATTTTTTTGCATAGATTTTGCTTACCAGATTGACAATCACACTGGAATAAAACTTATATATTATTACTATGAACTTATTATTATTTGGATTTTTAATTTTACTAAAAATTCGCGTACCTACACATTAGTTAATCTCATCCCAATTGTATCAGCTTTTGAGTAAATCACGTTCTTATATGAACTTGATTTTAGCTTATTTTTATATTATTACATTTAACCTAATTTAGAGGTAGGTATTGATTTGTATGAAAGATTGAAATAATTCATGGCTTCACGAGAAAAAATAATTTAGTTTATGTTAGTTTCTTAAACTGTTTGATATCATAATAGGTGCCTAATATGTTGTTTTTCAGTTAATTTCTAATAGTGTTGAATGCAATATTTTTACTAAGACATTCTTTATAATTGTTTTTATTGAAGTCGTTGATAATATTAGTTTATAGTTTTGTATCGATAATTTCGAATTATTTAGTTGTTCTGTAATGCGATTTTGGGATAATTTCTAAAGTTTGAACGCAATTGAATATATTAAACATTACACAAAAACACAATATAACGGTTTGAAAGTGATATTATATTGTATTATTGTCACGAACACCGCGGTAAAATATTTTGAAATAAAAAGAACACGTCGTTTTAATATCGTATAAAGTCAACAGAGCGCAAAACGTTTGAGCAGTTAAAATGGTTTACTGTGCATTGTTCCGAAGAAAAAAAACCGTCGCTAATAACATATTAAAAATAAAAAAATCCAACGAACGACCGTTTAATGAAAATATGTAAATCTCGACTGGAAAATAAAATAATTGTCTCGACTGTACAAACATATAGAAACATAGATATAATGGATAATATCATTGTATTTAAAAAATTATCCTCCACTTCCCCTTTTCTCGCTATAACTACTATCCCCTATCCTCCGCTCCAAGAATCGATTTGTTTTTGTTATAATGACCCGATAATAACAGGTTAATAGTAATAATCTGGTAATAAATAACCGGCATATAATCTGATATTAACTTAAAAAAAAGAGTCACGTGTAGATTGAAGTAAAGTGAACCTGTTGATTTTGGTAGTGAACTATGAAATTTTCCCGTCAGGGTGTTTATGAGATGTTTTTGGAAGTCATTGTGTACATCTTTGTTGCGTTCGTACCAGGGAGCGTTAGCTATTATTCTTAAGATAGCATCGCACCGGTGATTTTCAGTGGTAAAGCATGTTTAAGAAGACTGAAAATAATTTGGTCGCTTAATTTTGGTTTTAGAGTAAAAGCACCTATTATAAAATTAAAAGAAAACAATATTTTGGAGGGCAAAACGGTTTGTTTTTTTAAAAAAGTTCATTTTTTTAAAAGTTAGTCATTTAAAAATGTTAAAATAGTTCTTATTTCTAAACTATGTATTGAGCGTTATACATAGAATAATAAAAAAAACGCACCGTCTTGCCCTCCGGAATATTGTTTTCTTTTAATTTTATAATGGGTGCTTTTACTCTAAAACCAAAATTAAGCGGGTTATTTTCAGTCTGCTTAAACATGTAAAGATGAAAAAACATTTTTATATCGCTTTCAAGGATGCTATGATAGTCCAAAAAATAAATTAAGTACCAAAATAGAGTCCTAGTTATTGAACTAATAATTACACATTACAGTTTAACCTTTAAATTAAGATTTTGTAAAAAATTGCATATACTTTACTCCTTAAAAATAGACGGTGCGACGCCTCTTAATACCTTATTTTGGAAGGTTGGAATTCCTATTTCCTACGTTATTACCTAGGATGGTGTTGATAATAGAGACCATTTTAGTTTTTAATTACCGGCCATAAAAAAAATATGCAATAAGTTTAGATTCGTGGGCCAGATCTACGACGCGGTTTTGCCCACACGAAAAAAATGTGTGTATCCAGCCCAAAAACATGTCTACGTTAAATTATAATATTAAAAAATATTTTAAAAATTTGCGTTTAAAACGTGAACGAAACGATCTGAACGTGAAGTTCAGATTGCCGAGACGTCCAAACTAGGTAATTAGTAGTATTTGTTTTTTTTTGTTTTAACTATTGACCAACAGCCATTGTAGAAACACTTGTTCCGTGAAATTAAACCGAGTCACGTCCGCTGGCCGGTACACGTCGATTCAATTAGAAGTCGCCCGGTAGTCCGTGGGCGGGTTGGACAAAGTAATGTACAGACTACAGGTGAGTGAAAGAGAGGACAGGCGTTTTTCCAACAAACAAAAATAAATTGCCCGGGCATGTCTAGGAGGCGGCCTAGTGATGCGAGAGAGTTTTTAATACCGTCGGATTACACAGAAGTCAATCCATCAGTTCGTGCCCTAATAATTGACGAAAACCATTAATATCCCTCGCCACTCCGGTCGTGCAAAGGTACTTCCCCCACGTTCTTGCCCTTTCTCTCTCTCTCTCTCCTCTACCTAACCCTAGTTAAAGTGCAACAATGACCAGGACAAACGGTTGCCGATGATTTATCAGCGAACGTGACCGTCACCGGTTGGCCCAGCCATAAATATTTTTTGCCGGCAGCACAACGGTTGATCCTCGCCGGCTAAAGCGCATTTCAATTACATTTTTTTTTTCTTTTAACACAAAGCCAATTTAAAACGGGTATAAATAACCCGCGTCCGACCAACCGACCATAAGGAAACGCGACTTTTTACAAAACAAGAACACAGCCCGTTCGCGTACAACACAAGTAAATAAATTGCCATGTTATTTATCGCCCATTCGGTTACTAACGAACAATAATATTATTATTGTCTATGAAACCGATAACAACGATCAATGCGTTCGCGTACCACAATTGCCTATACAGAACGCCGTCCATTGTGTTGGTTTTGTTTAAATCGGCCGAGACGGTAATAATTATAAAATGGAGTGTATGATATTATAAGTTAATTATTGGTGATATAATAAAAATGTATTTGTGTGCAACTATTTCTGTATACATAGTTAAAGGATTATAAAAATGTGTCACAAATCGGTTAATTTTATAAAAAAACACTTCAAAATATATTTAAAATTAGGTACTATTTGTTGTATGCTAAACATATTTGTTTTACAGTAAAAAATAAAATGACATTAAATAGGATAACAACATCTAATTTTGGAGTTCTTACTATTCATACCACGGAAGATAAATATAACTATTTCTAAGCAAATTAAGGTAATTTTTAATAAGATAGTACTTTTTAGTTATTATAAATGACGAATACATTTCAATGTGAATACTCTTCAACATAAAAAATAAATTCAACTAAAAATTGTAGGAATTGTTTACAAAAAACCAATTGAAAACGCTCACCCGACTCGTTTATAACGTCTTGTCTAGTAAGGTAAAATATTTTTATTGATTTTTCAATTTTGTCGGTTTCCTTTATGCTAGCTGGTTAGGTTAGGAAAATATTATCTTTATTTTATCTAGATAATGATTTTTTTATCTGAGATCAACACTGATCGTATGTGTTGATTTTTTTGTGTATCTTATTCATTCATATTGTTATAACAAACGTTGGCATATGATTTAGCTGCGGTGCGTTAAAATTACAAATGGCTAGCACACATGTGCTGAACAGTGGCCATGGGTTGTCTTGTTATGGTCGTCTCGGTGATGTGTGCTGTTGTTTATACGCGTCTGGTGCTAGTAAAAAATAATTTAAATAAAACCGTGCAATAAAAATGGCGTTTGACGGCTAAACGGAGAGTATATACCCGACGCCATAAAATTGCATTATTATTATTATTCATTCGCTTTACTCGTTTAATAATAAATACATTATTCGTATGTTGGAAGTGGATGTTGTTTTCCCATGGTGCCCAACGCCATTGAACACAGACATCGCATTTGTGCTCAACACTAACGTTTTCCCTATAAGCTTTCCAGTCTGTACAAACAATAATATGAATGAATAAAAAATACTGGATAATAAACCGGACACACCTATCGGCCGGGGAAACGTCACATTTTAATTCACATCCAATATTGTAATCCCGGTATAGTGGTATTTGCTAAAAGTTTACCACACAATAAACATACCACTCGCTCTGTCA